AATTATAGTAACAAAACAGCCGTTTTGACGATTATATATTTTAAACTAAATTATATTATAACCTTACAAGTATATAATTCACAATTACTCGTTTAATGTGCCTATAATTTAATTATAATTAGACAAATGGCAACAAAACGCAGAAAAGTTGATGCTAAGTGCAAATTCAATGGCGCTGAAAATATTCAAATGGAATTTTTTGAGATGCAATGAAGTAATAAATCTATATTCTATTCGAGAGATGTATTACTGCTTGATTTTTATTATAAAAAGTATCATCCGTTCGGTTTCAGCTTTCTAAAAATATGTGCGGCCCGCCAATGACTCGCAACCCTTAATTTTGGCCCGCGATCGACAAAAGGTTGCCGATCCCTGCTGTAGATGTCAGAGGTGAAGCTAAATTTGAAGGAAAAAGGGTAAAGTCTGTTAATTCCGTCGCAATCACTTGTACTTCTGAAATCCTTGGAACGCTCTGGCGAAATCGACGTAACTCTATAATGTTTGCGATTTTTACGAGAAATGTCTATTGTAGCTGCATGATGAAGCCTACAATGCTGTCAGGCCAAACATATGTACAAATTTGAAGGGTGGAATAAACTGGACTGGAGTGATTGGTCTTCAAAATTGATAAATGATATAAATGTTTGGTTGGCTAGTCAGATTTTGAATAGCGATGCACTTTCCGACAAATACCGATGAAGAGATATTTATCTCAGCATGGTTCAAATGCAATTTGGCTTACTTTGCCGATTGAAATTAAGTGGACAGAGATGTTTAACGTTTTTTCTAACAGAAATATTAGCATTTCGAATTTGCTGAAACTCGTAGATTTTGTTTGCCGGAACATCGGCATCTGTTGAACGGATTATTTTCATTGTTAAAAATTTTTGATCCGAAAGCAGGTTCAGAATGCCAGAAGAATATATAAAAGCATTCGTAACCTGCAAATTTAATGGTGATGTCTCATGTCTCAGTTTTATGAAAAAATCAGAACATGAATTTTTGAGAAGGGGTTCCATCTGCGGACAATACTTTTGGTCTAAATAAATAATACTTGTACAAAGTATTTTTTTGTGTTCTTCCTAATTCAATGATCAGTAGAGATTTACAGCCGTATATACCCTTAATGACATGGTAGACGTTTCAATATTACAAAGACTGGCAATCGACCGAATGTTTGCCAAATCGCACCGTCCCGGTTTTTTGTTTCAGATTTATGGTATGCTAACGGACATAACTTAACTAATAATAACTAAACAGGGCTATGGAAAGGCTGCCCAACTCAACGCAAGGTCGAGCAGTAATATAACTAATATTCATTCGCTCGCTAACAGCTGATTCGATTCAATTGTTACGTCATGCAGTAGTCATTGTTCATTGCCGAAAATGTGAAGAATATAGGACAGATCGTAGCACATATTTCTTGTAGTAAAAGCGTCTTTTCCGTAAAACGCGCAACTTTTGGAAGTGGGAACAAGGCAATATTTGTTACTAAATTTTTAAGGACAATTTTAAAATCATTTTCAGGTAGTTACCTGATGTGCGCTACGAAACTCACTTTCTAGGCATTTTTCAGGGCCTCGGCTCGCGGCCTATTACTCTTACGTGTAGCAGAGAAACAAACGAGACCGGGACAGATACACAAACACAGAATACAAGAACATTGATGAATTTAAAAAAAATTTGAACAGAAACTTAATGAACAAACAATGTAAATAAGAATTTGAGTTTTAAGAATAATGAGCTACTTTAATGTAATTTTATTTGACAATGATTTAAGTTACATATGTTTATTGAACACTGAGAAAAAATCTAAGTTCATGCCAATTAGAGTGATCTAAATTCTTTATATTGTTTTATTAACATGAATGCAAGTTTGCCACGCAAAGAATTACCAAACAAATATAAGCCTGCCTGGTTTTCATGTTTGAGCTCGGTTCTATTTCATTTCCGTTTATGAACTGTGCTCGCGTGCTCCGTATCTATGTATTTTTGTCGCGCGAGTTCACTTGGTATATATTAAATCAATATTAAAAATATAAGTTTAGTATTGTGGACCGGATTTACCAATAGGTCAGGTAGTCTGAAGCCTAGAGCCTTGAAGTCTTAGATGCCTCGACTTTCAAATCCAAACAATTATTTGTTTTCAAGTTGTCAATTTTGCAAGGGCTTGTTTAAAATTTTATAAAACTGTTATTCGTTTATTTTTCAGGTTAATCAACTGGTGTCCAAAATATTCACCGTTTAGATTTTAGAGAGTTAAAATAATTAGTAGTGTCAAACAAATGAATTGGTTTAAATGTGAAAAACTCTACCCCTTTAACCTTAACACAAAATACTCTAATTTAGATTTAATTAAACTGTTTTTATTACCGTAATAATGCCTTTATTTATTAAAAATAATTGAAAAAATATCGATATATGGCTATACTAATTATATTTTTAAATATTTCGGCCCATTTGTTACCTTAGATCCCTCTAGTTTTTTTTTTATTAATTTTTTTATTTATTAAAAACATCACTTTTTATACACACGATAACATATAAATACAATTGCTCGTAAAAAAATGAGTTCATGATAATTTTCCACTTTTTTACATGCTTCGACAGTTTACATTTTTTAGTTGCAATAATGTTTTCACAGTTGAAAATACTTTTTATCATAAATAAAAATTGATCAAATTGAGTCCTCTCATTACATGATTTACATTTATAAATATATTATCTTGCACTTAGTAAAACACAGTTTATACCTTGGTTTTGCCCTACCCCCAATAAAATTTCTTTATATGTCAGATTAAGATTTAACCCATATTCAATAGTTAGCCATGCATTGACTATTTCCCAAAATTGTTGCACAAATTCACAGAAATGAAATAAATGTAACACTGTTTCGACATGACTATCACAAAATGTACATTTTGGACTTGATGTCTTATTTATTCTAAATAACAGGTCATTTGTAAGCACTGCTCTCAGAGCAAATTTTACATGGAAAGATCTAAGTCGCGATTCAATAGTGCAATAAAAAAATTTTCATACTGCGTCAACCAATTATCCAAGTTCTTGCACAATTCATTTGACCATTTTTCTATTTTCTCATTAGGAATCGAAATTTTTACATTACGGAGCTTATCATATATATATCGGGAAGATTTATCAATGCTCTTAATATCTTCGATTAGACTACGATGAGGATTGGCTTGAGGTGTTTTTAATAAATTTTCTTCCATGCTTGGGGTATACATGATAAAATTTTTAAATACGATTGCATGTCATTATGAAAATCAGAAAAGCAATAATGATGAAAAAATCGTGGAAACATTGCAATTTGATGTTTATATTCACAGATGTCTTCAATAAAATAGATATTTTTCTAATCCAATTATCCATATAAAAAAATTTTCCTCGATAGGATATCCTCCTAATAAACCACAGTGGTTCAAGCAAATGATTCACATCACTAATAACTTTCGTTTTGAAAACATACCAATAGTAAAGGGTATCTCTTAAACATCTTGAATAAATCTTCTTAACAAACATTCCATCTGGATATACATTTCCATAAAATAACTATACTCCACCATACAAATTTAAGAAAAACATTTCCATAGAATTCCACGAGGCTTCAAGCTCATCATTTACTAAAAATTTAACTTATCTTAGTTTTTGACCGATAAAAAATGATATTATACCACATCAAGCCTATTAGCCCCCCTTTCCCTTATGGATGCAATCAATGTACTGCGTTTAATTATCTCCCGCGTTGAACCCCATAAAATTCATAGCATATCTTCTTTACTGCTGTTACAAAATTGTTGGGCAGTCTTATTGGTAAGACAGATATTATATAGACCAGTAAGCTCAACATTAAGGACTTAATAACAGTGATTTTTTCAAGAAAATCAAGATTTCTTTTGGACCACATTTGTGCAACCACTTTTATTTTTTGGAGTTTTGGCAAAAGATTAACAGTATAAAGGTCGGCATCATTTTCACATATAGAAATACCCAACATTTTAAAATTTCTTGGGTTCCACTTAGGGTTACCATATTTTTGTAACTTCAAAGCGGGACGCCTCCAAAGACAACGACCCCTTAGCTGTGATTTTGTAACTTTGCATGTTACGATTTTACTACAAAGGCCTACATTTAAAGCCATCCCGGCTGTCTTCATTGATCATATTGTCGCCAAGAGTTTATGTGCATATTCTCTGTCTAGATATCGGGTTCAGTTCGATAAATAGAAAGGAATTGACGTTAACGATACAAAATAATTCTAATTTAGATTTTTTATGTACAACAAAAGGAAGAAAGAATAACGAAATAGTCTGTCGCTTTCAAGCACTGATAATTTACTTATTCGCCCAATCATACTTTTCTGTTGATAAAACCTTCTTCAAAAAGACGTTGTTCAATAGTACTTTCACGTAAAAGTCAGAGCACGATCAATTAGTATTGATTTTACATGTCGTAGGTTCGCTAACAATGAAACAAACAAAATAACGCACTCACTTTCAGCAAGTAGGCGAGCGCTGCAAAGCAACAGCAGTAACGAGAACATGTTAATTGGTAATGTTCGTGTATTATGCTGGATGTTTGAATGCCAAAGCGGGACTTTTGGCTGACTTGTCGGGACGGCGGGACAAGACGCTTAAATGCGGGACTGTCCCGACTAAAGCGGGACGTATGGTAAGCCTAGTTCCACTGAACCCCTCGATTTTGCATAGGAAAATTCTGGCAATTACTATTATGATTTAGGCAAAATGCTTGGCATTTATTCATATTTATTTTGCACCAAGATATTGTATAGAATTTATCCGCTTCAAAAAATATGGTTGTAATCCGTCTAGTTGGGGAGGAATAGAGAGTTTCGAAATAGATAAAGAGAGGAATTTATCGATAAAGATTAAAAATTCCGATCAATGAGGATATACACTCTTTGCTCTGGTTTTTATTAGCCCAGCGTGAAATAACGATGAGTCACACCATTGATGACTTAACAACACACGATGTGTAAGTTCAAAAGTTCAAACAAGTAACCGCATCATCAACGTACGGTAAATTCGTTGTTCATTAACTTTGCTTATGAACTCCGCTGGTTTACAGGCAAGATAGTATAGGCTTGGTCGTTTCCAGTTATGCTGCAGGTGTTCAAAAATTGTGTTGCATCCTCTTTGCTGACAACTAATAGACGGCTGATTGCAGTTCAATCAAGAAGCATGGGAAAACTTGACGGCAAAGTTGCGGTTGTCACGGCATCTACCGAGGGGTGAATATACAGCATACCGGTACCGTACCCCTACCATATTAGTAGCTCTATACCGGTACCGGTACCGTATACCGTAACTATCGACTAGGTAGTGTAAATTATAAATGCATGAAATGTCTTATCATTTGATTGCCGATCAACACAGTGAAATTGGAGTTACACTGACTGCGTGGATTACGGTACCGTACCGGTAGCAGGTACCAGGACCAAGAGCTGAAGGGGGTTAATCATGTGTGAAAGTCTATCTGAATTTCTCACCGGCCAAACCTGACTGGTAACTTGATGAGAGACCATGGTATTGCACGGAAAAATAGGTGTAAAGTCTGAAAATGGTGCCACATTGCAGTAGTTTTGGGCTTTTATAGTATAAGGTACTACTACTGCTATACCGGTACTGGCTACTGCTATGTCTGTATGTCCAATACTGTAATATAAAGTGAATGAATTGGCAGGTATTTCTGCATTTGGTTTTATAGAGTTGCACCCAGATCAATTCAAACATAATGGCCAACTCAGGTTTGCATTGTCAGTGTTAAGTAATTTTATCATGTAGGCTAATAATGCTTAGCACTGTGAGTGTGACATCTTTTGCTTTGGCAGGACAAAATTTGCTTTAGTTGAATTGGTATAACAAATAATACTTTCAATAGAAATGATATTGCTATCTTGATTATTGACTAAAGAGTAAAATTAAAATACAATTACTAGGGATGCGACGAATCCAAAAAGGTTCGGCTCGGCCGAATCCCGAGTATTTGTGCTGGACTCGTGTCCGAGTCCCGAGTCCAATACTTTTACATAGCTACGAAACAAATACCTAAAGTAATGCTGTTGTTCTCGTATATTGGCCGTAAATTAAACATTCTGTATGAAAAGACTATGTAATTTAAATACGTTGCACATAAACACTATTACTTTCGAGACAATCATTCTCTGAGCGACTAGTTTAAATTAGAATAAATAGGTCATATTCCCCGTCGAAGGAATACTTTGTTACGTAACTCTGATCGACCGCCGCGTCGACTGCTGAAGACGCCGCGCTCGTGTCTTGTCAAGATAAATACGGGCCATAACCCACACGTTTGGAACAAATTTTTTATGGGAAATTTTTACTCATATGTAACTTTTTTAGTCGGCGCTGATACAGACGCCCATCTCCGTGATAATTGAGATATTAATAAAGAATTGCCAACTGTGGAAGCATCGAATAAATGTATCTTATAAATATATCGTACCAACATAGCTAGCTATTCTTCGTTTGAAAACCATCAATAACGATTGTCGAATCCGCGGAAAATAAGAATGTGTAATTGTTGATTTTGATTCAATAAGAGAGACGCAAAAGGCGAAATGTGTTAAATGCTAAGTTACGGCTGTATGACACAACCATTTTCATTAATACAAATAACGGCGCTTCAAAAAGCAAAATCAAATTTATTAACATTAATTTAGAAGTGAGAGTTACGAGTAAGAATTCACATACTCGCTAACAGACAGAAACGATAAATGTGAGAATTATTATGGTTTTCTTTCTGCGCCTATCGTTATCTTAACAATTCCCAATTTTGCATAAAGCGCCAACACCTTTTCACATATAGAAACGTCAAACCAGATTAAGTGAGGCAGGTAAATTATGTATTATATGGAAATATTGTTTCGACTAGGTAGAAATGCCATAACTCGAAACAGCACGCAATGGTAAATTTCCGGAGTTTTTATTCATTATCTAATATTAAAATAACACAGCCACGATAGGTATTGTTCGCTTAAAATAGGGACCGTAATTTACAAACTGTGATATGGAAGATCAAATCCAGAGGATGAGGCCAGAATAAAATTAATATATTTATGAATTCACTAATTAATAGCTGGCTTTAATATCTTCGCCGATTTGTACTCACACTTCTGCCTGAAATATAAAAACGAAACTTCGATGGCCGGCGTTGCGTGAGAACTGATAGTGAAAAAGGGTGCTTTAAAAATATAGTTTACCAACCATAATTAGGATGTCGGTTGCCGAAACGATCGCGGCGACAAAAAAACAATTCACGATTGTGATAAAATTACAGATAAGAAGTAAAGACGCCGCGTTGTTATCGAGTCTCCAGTCTTCTAGTAATTTTCTACTATCGGTAAATTAAAAGAAATACGGTAGTCGAATTATTCGATCAGGAAAAATTCGATTTTGCCCGTCACTAATCGCGGCGTATGTAAATAGTTATTGAATAAAAATAAAAAGTCGGCCCGATTAACATCCAATTACCACGAGTAATAGTTTCCAAATTTATGCACATTTAATCGATGCGACTTGCGAGATTGTTTTTGTACATATATACGATTGTAACGCCACTGACATCTGCGAGTTGTACTTTTCTCTTAAAAGAACCGTAATTTTCACTATTTTATCGTTTTATTTCTAACATTTGTTTCTCTCCGGAAATAGCTATATCATTTATGAAACGATAAAAGGCGAACAGCGCGACATGGTTACCGCTGATTACGGATTAATCACTGTTCGAGGATTATCAAGTATATGCTTGAAATAGAACGTGGTAAACATTCACTAAACCAGCGGTTCCCAACCTTTCTACCCTGGCGGACCGGTAAAATTGGATTAAATGTACTCGCGGACCGGCAAAAAAATTAAAATGGCTGGAACAGAAAAGAAAAACATATATTTGCGTAATGTAATGCAATGTCGGGCACTCAATATGCTTCTAGACAAAAAAAGCACACTAAAAAACATTTCACACGGAGAAAAACTATCAAAAAATGTGCCGACCAAAAGTTGAAAATGGGTGAAACATAAAATAATACCATATATTTGCGTAATGAAATGCAGTGCCGGGCACCCATTATGCGTAAGAAAGGCACGCATAAAATTTCTCACATTAAAACCAGGTACATGCCAAATCATGTACAAACACAATTAACTCTTCTGAGAATTTTGCTGCAGTTTCGTTTCCAATATAAGATTGTAAACGAGGCCTCAAGGAATATTTTGCAACACGTAGCTCTGCAGCCGCGTGCAGCCGATTTCTTCGCTTCGTTTTAATTGAATCTAGTGATGAAAATGTTTTTTCGCATAACGCAATAACTGGCTGAAAAGAATGACAACAGTTTGATTGCTCGATTACTTGGCGATGGGTATTCGTTATCAAGAGATATCTAAAATTGTGATAAGTGATAAGTGACGCGTAAGACGGCGTCAAGATGTCGCAATATGACGGCGGATGAGAATTGCGTAATGAGCCAACGCAACTTTGTCTACGGTAAAGCGATTGAGACGTCATAAAAACATCAAAACAACAAAATTTCTCGCGGACCGGCAAAAAAGCTTCGCGGACCGGCACCGGTCCATGGACCGGCGGTTGGGAACCACTGCACTAAACGACGTCTGGCACTGGAAGGCAAGCTACACGCGCAACACTGGAATTTATTCAGCTGACTTTCGCTGACATTATTTTGTTCTTACGGCGTCGTGAATTTGTAGTCTTGGCGCCTAGTTTTAATTTCACCGTAGAGAAAATAGACTGGACAGTCTCGTGGTAAAACAGAACGAAAAAGTTGAATTTCTCGTCGAATCCGCCACCAGTCTGCGCTTGACTATCGCGAGACGTATGATATCCCGGACTCGGGTAAAATCATCAAAGACTCGGGCCGAATCCGAGTATCAAATTACGAGAGATTCGGCCACGAATCCGAGCACGAGTCCGAATCTTGTCGCATCCCTAACAATTACTATACTTACAGGAATACAGGTTTAGTAATTATTTTTTTTTTTAGAATTGGTCTTGCAATTGCCAAGAAACTAGGAAAAGATGGTGCACATGTTGTTATTAGCAGTCGAAAGCAGAAAAATGTTGACAAAGCATTACAGGAATTAAAAGCAGAAAATCTGAGTGTTTCTGGAATGGTTTGTCATGTTGGCAACGGTGACCACAGAAAAGCTCTTTTTGAAAAAGTAAAAATTGTGTTTATTGTAAAAATAAACATTTCTGAAATATAGGCATGAGGTTGGAAAACTCGAGACTATCCATATATTGTAGGGAATTTGATTATATCTGCCATCATGAAACATTCTACCTTGGTCATAGTGTATAATACAAGGTAATTATTTTCCTCTAACCACTAGAAAATGCATATTAATAATTTTTATTTGCTGGTACACACTGTTTGAAATTTCTTCCTATTCACAGGCTGTTTCTGATTTTGGTGGTCTGGACATTCTTGTATCAAATGCAGCTGTGAACCCTTATTTTGGGACATTGATCACTGTAAGTTTATAGATTATATACAATAATATGTTTCCATCTTTTTTATTCTTACTGAGAACTTTACTTTATAGACACCTGAGCAAGCATTTGACAAAATCATGGAAATAAATGTAAAAGCAGCATATTTGCTTGTGAAAGAAGCAGCACCTTATATAGAGAAAAGAGGGTATAATTTTTTTTTACAAAATCTTGTATATAATCAATATGTTTGAACAGTAAAGCCTACTATTAAACCGTTTTGCTGACTGTGATAATGTTTGTATATGTGGTTTTTTGTTTGGAAGGAATCGAAAACAATGAAAATATAAAAATCATTGCGATTTTGCAAATCAAGACTAAATTAGTTTGGAAAAGTTTTGCATTGAATATTTATCAGTTAAATAAATATAGGATGTTCATCCTCAGTAAAGTATAATTAAAATTCATAATGTGATTCAGTCATATCTTTCTAATTGCAAATCAAAGTTATGCTTCAGATTTTCACCTTTACATCTATGATAAATTGTATTGTTTTATGTTTAGCAAAGGCTCAATTGTATTAGTGTCATCGATCGGTGGTTTAGTACCATTTTCTATGTTGGGAGCATATTCAATAAGCAAGACTGCTTTGTTAGGTAAGAAAGAATGTCAGTAACATGGATGCATATGTATGATCCAAATCACCATTAATTTAAAGGCCTCCTCAGTAGAGTCATTTTAAATTTATTGTTAACCATACCAGGCCATTAAATATGTATTGATTTGATAAATTCATTCCACTAACCCAGGGGTGGGCAACATAAGATTTTGACCGGCCCGCAGACTGTACATCAGTACATTATGATATTACATTATTACACTTTTAGTACATTGTAATAAATTCATTATGTGTTTTTGGTCTCTAATTTTAGTAAAGTTTAAACTTTACTTTAAACGCGATTTATAATTTACTTTCTTGCATAAGCGAATAAATATGTGATTAATATATTGAATACTATTCATGTTATAATCCGGCCCACCGAGGACTTTATTTTCCCACATCTGGCCCGCCGACTAGAGAAGTTGCCCACCCCTGCACTAACCTATTACAATCTGGTTTGTCTTCTTTGTCTAGGTATGAACAAGGTTCTTTCGAGTGAGCTGGCACCAAATAATATTAGGGTTAACTGCATAGCACCAGGCATCATCAAGACAAAGTTTAGTGGAGCGGTAATAATATTTTTATACATTACCATTGTTTTGTTGATTAAGTTGATTTAAAAACAAATCTTCAATTTGTCATATGAATGCATGCTTTTTATATTTGCAGCTGTGGACTTCACCCGAGCAAAAAGAGATTATAGAATCAACTAACCCAATGAATAGGTGAGATATCGGCCATTTTCTTATATACTCCAACAGGTTTTACCTACCAGCAGCAATACTTTATTGCCTTTCACACAGATTTTCTTCAGCTTCTAGTTGAAAATCTAGCAGTTGTTGCTTTTAAGTTTTGTTGAGTGTTTTGGGGAAAAGTTGATTACGCTTCACTATTGAAGAGATGGGTGTTGTGCATGCATGAAATGGAAATGTAATGCAGTGCGCCATATTATGATTGATACATGGATATTTATTTTGACACAATGATTTAGAGGTTGTCATTGAATATTTGCCAACTTCGATTCCTGTTTTTACAGGCTTGGTGAACCAGATGAATGTGCCGGTATTGTTTCTTTCCTATGCTCAGAAGAAGCTTCTTTTATAACTGGAGAAACGATTGTTATAGCAGGAGGAGCTCAGTCCAGACTCTGAAGTTACATTTTTTGTAGATATATGCAAACTTTAATTTATCTTTTGATTTAAAATCATTTTTATATTCATAATCCTCAATCTCCAATTTCTGCAATACCTCCATGTGATTATTTTTTGTTGCTTCCATTCGTGCTTACCTTTCCTTTGCAACGGTTGAAATGTATACAAATATAGATATATAGGTAAATATAGATATAGGCGCGGCGGTGTGGCTCAACGGGCTAAGCGTTAGGAATACGCTCGCCACTGCACCTCTAATTACTCTGCGTGGGTTCGCAGGTTCGAATCCCATGCAGGGATGATTATGTGCGAGAGGATTGCTGGACTCCTCGCCGTCGTTGGGTGGTTCATGTAACCGCTGGTCGGTTACAGCTTCCTCCACCACCAAGTCCATGCTTCCGAAAACAAAACAATATAACTAATCCCATACCAGACTTGGAATGGTAATCGGACGAGAGGCCGTGGTTCGCCATATGGATAAGCCGTCTTATCAGCTTTCGTCTCCCCTGGGATAAACAAGTAAATCCTATCCATAGAGTAATAACACCACGATTCAAACAATGAACTTTGTGTCAAACTGAGGAAATTTAACTGGTATAATGCTTAAAGTAACTGTTAGGACCCATACGCTTCGCAGGGACATGCTCCCTTGTGCCTAACTGAAACTGTTAGGGCTCACACGCTCACTTGTTCTTACTTTTTTGTACGGTTATCGCTCGAGAAGAGTAAATTATTCAAACAGGTAAATAATTCAAACCTTTAGGTAGTACGTAACGTGCTATGCTTTTCAAGTTTATTTTTCCAATCAGTAAAGAATATTAATCATACGAAAACTACAAGAAAATGATAGATGGGATGAATGCCGTGGGGTAAAGATGATGGCTATCGAGCAGAGATACCCATTATTCAACTGACATCGCTTAGAGGAGATTGAAAGTTGTTAGAAAAAATGAGAACCAGACAGTTCCGACCGCTGCATGGCCCGGACGTGGCTTCCCAGATATCAAAAAACATAGGAAATAGCATAGAAAAAAACGGAAATAGCAAATTTCTGACTACAGGAATAGAATACAACTGTGGTGCAGAAATGCAAGATTTCTAAGCTAATTGTTGCGCACAGACACGAAGATAAGTTCAAACGAAGTTAGGCTTGGCGGCGAATGTATTTACATGCGTTTTTATATAATCTTTTCGATTGTTTGTTTACATGGTAGGATAGGATAGGATATACATATTTATCCCGGGGGAGAGGAAAGCCGATAAGACGGCTTATCCATATGGCGAACCACGGCCTCTCGTCCGGTTACCATTCCAAGTCGGGTATGGGATTAGTTTTACTGTATTGTTTGTTTTCGGAAGCATGGACTTGGTGGTGGAGGAAGCCGTAACCGACCAGCGGTTACGTGAACCACCCAACGACGGCGAGGAGTCCAGCAATCCTCTCGCACATAACCATCCCTGCATGGGATTCGAACCTGCGAACCCACGCAGGGTAATTAGAGGTGCGGTGGCGAGCGTATTCCTAACGCTTAGCCCGTTGAGCCACACCGCCGCGCCTCAATATTCACGCGTACAACGGCTATTCAGATCATATATATTATAGTCACTTTGATTCAGATCACTGTTTGGTTTTTGAATAAATTGCACGCGCAATTTTAGTAGGAACCTGCCGGACATAGCGATTTTAGTAGGTACATAGCGGACATAGCCATCTTAGTAGGGACATTGTCATTTTAGTAAAATATCAGGATTGCGATTTTAAAAGGGACATAGAGATTTTAGTAAGAACATATTTATTTTAGAAGGGACATAGCCATTTTATAACTACCCGGCAAACTCGTCTCCTCCACCGCTTCTAGCCCAGACAGCATCCCTGTCTTGGTTTGAAAACGCTTTTCATAATTATCAAAAATTCTAATAAAAAGATTCAACAAATATTCATGCAAACTATTTTTGATAGATTAGAAACCAGCTCCCGTTATTCAGATTTTTTATGTTGATCAGTCGGATTCGAGTAAATATTAATTCTTTGCCAAACACTAGCAAAGTGCGCGAGTCTCCCGTAAAGAGTCTTTTCCTGGCACCCACGTGTCAATCTCGCAATGTCTTCCGAAAACAGAGTTTATGTTGGTAGTTGTGCCGAATCCCGCATGCAGTTCACAAGTTTAAAACCGTAACATTTACGTTTACTGTAAAACAATACGGTTTTCGTTGAAAACATTCTATTACCGATTTCATAACACTTGTATCGGAAGGAATTGTCGCCAGCCAAAAACATTTCTACCTGATAGGAAAATCAACGTCCTTGTCGGTGTTCAGTGCTTCCAAACATACTTGGATTCTAATAGAGTACCTCATTTCCCAATGCACAAACCGTTATTGTCTATATTGTATCCACAAGCATTCACGTTCATAGACACCAGTCTCTATAGCAGGGGTCTGAAACTCAATTAACTTGCGGGCCGCTGATAAAGAGTCTGGATGAGTCCGGGCCGCATCAGGTTTTCCACAATAAAAGCTTAGCAACTCGTTTAAATTATATTCCACGTGCACTTTAACTGTGCAGATAAATCATGTCGGGATGCTCCTATGCTCAACAAAGAAATATTGCATTTTCCAGTTTTTTGAAATTGTCTGTGCTCATCACCAACCTTTCTGTTTACTGAAACTTCACTTCCAACGACATGTTTAGGGATGTGCGAAATTATAAAATTCCATCTTGTAATAACTGTTGCGCTGATGTTTCAATCAAGCATTTAGCCGATGGACAGTGATGTTTCGCCACATGGGAAACATGGTTACAAATACAATGTATCGAGATAAAACTAAGCGTTAGTGATTGTGACGTCAAAAATCATGGAATACTGTTTTAAAATTATTTCAGGCGGTCCCGCGATCGAATATCAGGCCTACAGGTATGGTACTGGTAGGTTACCGCACCGCATATACCTTTCAGGGGATAGATGATAAAATATTTTGTTTTGCCCTATGTGATTATATCTTATATTACGGAGTTTCCTTTTTTCGGCCACGGAACACTTACACTTTTTATATCACCTCGCGGACCACCAAAAATTAAAGGGTTAAATTGATAATGAAAAACGCTGCAATGTAGGGGTTCCCAATGGTTTCGCCGGGGCGAGTTGAAAATGCCCGACAAACTTTCAGCATTTCGAGGTAAAACCAGGTAGAGATGGAGGAAGAACAGTTGACCTTTTGTCTTTATGCTTAGTTGTTTGTCTTTAACAAAACCAAAAGAAGTACTGTAAATTTGATAATGAAATGAACAGTCAAAAAGCCAAACCGACGGTTAACGAAAATGCCACTACCCCAACTTAGCCAAACCGACGGTTAACGAAAATACCACTACCCCAACTTAGTAAGTCCACTTTAGGCCGACGTTGACGCGATCTTAAACGGTCAGTTGGGCAACAACTTCATGATTCTCAGATCGCCATGGCGACCAATTTAGATGTACTTTTGATTGCTTTTTCACGCAACACTCGGAAGATGCTCGCGGAACATTAGTGTTCAGCGGAACACAGTTTGGAAAGCGCTGATATATTGAAAGCATTAATCATGCTAACTGAGCTAAGTGACTTGCGGGCCGCACTAACATTAAACTTTAATACCAAGGCGGGGGCCACAAACTATCATCCTACGGGCCGCAATTGGCCCGCGGGCCGCAAGTTTGAGACCTGCTTTATAGTCAGGATCCCATTGATATGAAATATAATGAATGCGGTAATAAAGTGATGACATGTGTCGTAACATCGACAGTCGTAAACACTGTGATCGACATCACGATGCGTAAACCAGGGATGTGCAACCCGCCGGCCGAATCCGGCCCACAAGGGAAAATTGTGCGCCCGCGGAGAAATGCCAATTTTTGATGATGTGCTCTCGAAACGAGTTTTTAGTTAAGTTAATATGGTACGTGAGAGCAATTACAATCCCTTTGCGTCGCAAAGCCCATACACGTGCCTGATTGCCACTGTCATATTAGCGAAACGCTAGCCAAACCCCGCAAAATACACGATGTTATAAAAAACGTGTTTCTCACTATATTTGTTTAAACTTTTTCATAAGAGAAATTTCTAAAAGCAGTTTTTTTCATAAATGTATCGTTTTAATTCACCATTTTTGCAAGGACCCCTAATAAAACCGAATGATCAATGACAAAAAGAAACATTTTTTGTGTCTGCAACTACCAAAACGGCTTTCTTAAATAAAGGTGCGCCCCGCGGCTTCACCCTGTTACTTGTATCTGTATCTGACCTTTCTGTAATATAGGTTACACACCCCTGGCGTAAACCCTCTTTTTGCTCCGTGTTCTTTAACTACGTTAAATTAATATTTTTCTTGCGCACTTAGTTATATATGACTCGGCGAATTCACCCTATAAATGTACACCGGCTTCCGAGAGATTTGAAAACTTATTCTATTCCACCTCCAAATTTAAATCTCGAGAAAAGTCTGTCTCGTTCTATGCTTTATCTTCACCCAGTTCACATCGACAACATCCCTCGGAGCTAGTGACGCGCACCAGAACATCCTCTGTAAAGTAAAACATCCTCCTATTCTAAGACTTCGTCCCTCGATCCGACCTCCGATATATATAGGTATATATATCCGCGCCTTAACGCGCCACCAGGCTCGTGCTCAGCGTATCCCCATATGTCAAGAGTCTTTTCGTCTGGCTGCATACGGCAAGGTATGGAACTTCACCCCGACCAGAACCTGATCTACACCAGTGGTTCTCAATCTTTTTGGTGTCATAGACAAATTTCGAATCTCAAGTTGTTAACTCGAGGAGTCGGCGAAGGTTCTGTTTTTATTCGCCGAAATTTCGCCCGACTCGAGTGCTTATGTTTTCGTATCTGCGGTCCCCGGTCCAACCTTGTCTATTTTTGTGTTTGGGCATGAGCCCGTGGTAACCCAAATTCCCAGACTTTTCCATGGAAATCCCATGGGATGGGACAACACACATGTGTATTTCCCAAGGGTCAAGTGGGACCCTAGATTTTTGAAACACCCATTTTTATATAAGATTATTGGAAGGAACACAGGTTTCCACTGCTAAAATCTGGTGCAAAAATTGTTTTGGCCGTATCAGTGTCATCGGCGGCAGTAGAGCGTTTATTCATCGCGATCGGTTTGTTATTGAGTAAGCTACGACAACGGATGTTACCTTTTTTCGTTATGAATTGGATACATCGGATTTGCGAGTAAAATGATAATAAAAAGAATGGTTCAGGACTCACCCGGATTAACAGACTTAGTAACAATCGATGAGCAGAAAATTAATAATTTGAATCATTCTGAATTGCTGTAGTTATTGGCACGGAGTGGAACCATGGATCGTTTTATAAGTATATTGTTGTTCTTGCTATTAGAATTTTTCTTGACCTGGAAAAGCTAGGACATCTCGCGTACCGTTGCCGGTATCCTGACACAGATACTGGCAAGTTACCGTGACTGGTCAGGTTCGTTCAGGGGGAGGGGGAGGGGGGCGAGTAATCACACATCAGGTTTTGCTCAGTTGCGAAAGCGCTTTGCTAATTCGCGCACGTGTCTAAAAGCTACTAGGCTATAGGCTACGTGTTTTTGTCCACGCCTCCACATAAATCTGAACATATTCGTATTGCAATATTATTGAATTTAGACGTGTCATGCATACTTTCGAAGCGTTCCAAGCAGTCAAACACGAAATCACAAGAAATTCTAGCATAATGCAAGGCACTTAATAGGATATGATCCCGTACACTTTTCTTCCTATTTTACTTTCTTGTTCTGTTTTACTTTCGAATTAATAATGGAGCAATGGGTGATATGTTAACATTGAACTAATAAATAAGAAGACATTGTGGGCATATATCAAATAAGATTTATGTATATTGAGAAGCAATCTTACTATTTCCAAAATATCGCACTCTTCCTTAGAATCTACCACGTTTTATCAAATCCGCTTATATTTCTCCAAAAAAACGTTATAATTCTGATCTCAGATATTTTTACCCGCGCATTGCCGAACTCGTTCATATATATTTTTGGGCCAATGTTCACCGTCCACGTCAAATGGTAGTCGATATACAGGAACATTGTCTTCATTGAGATAATTAAATTGAATATACTGATTTTTGAAGTTGCTGACCTTTTCTAGGTGTGGGGTCGCGAGTATCAGTAAGTTTTGATTTTACGTAAATTGGGCTCGCGAAAAAAAGTTTGGGAATCACTGCTCTAGGTGTTCTAAAACAGGAGGAGCTGCGCTAAACTTGTTCCGCTTGGTGGACCAATCGGCATATTTTCGTACCTGAGTCTGTCATTGCGGATGACAATAAACATGAGCGTAATCTTTACATATTGTTTTTTCCCCTCTTGCTCGTGGAGGTCATTGTTACTGGCGAATGTACCGTGATATTCAAAATACTCAAAATCAAAAATTTGTGACCCGTTTTTATGAAGTGTAATTACCCGCGTACCAACTAACCAAACAGCACTGTATATTCGATGTAGGCTATAATTGGACACGCAGTGGACATAGAAATCGGTCTGTTGTTATGTTGTTCTTCGACACGTTTTCAAAAAATCGCCTTTCTCTTTGATTAGTGGACCAATTGTTTTGAAATTTTCAGTGGTTAAAAATAGAGTTTTTCTTCAGAAGGCCTATATTTTTATTTTTCGCTATAACGTCATCAAAATTATGTGGCTCTACGTGCCAAATACTTCTTTCCGAGAACTTCAGCTATGTGAATTTCACTACCTCACAGATTTTTTCCCTGAATCGTATTCAGCGTGTGGCATGGCTCAGAGGTTGGTCTCCTTGGCATCGCAGGGAAAGCGTGCAACCTTGATTTCATGATCTTTTTGTATAGAGTATATGTAAATATGAATTATCAACTTTTTTATATCGGAAAATGAGTTTAACTAAGAATAAAGATAGGATAGGCTTTGGCCTTTGGGTCATACCCTTCACCTTTTTGCCACCAAAACGCGTACTATGACGTTACATTTTGATGGAATTACTTATATATATATATATATATATATATACCAATAGTAATTTCAACTTCCAATTATGCTGAATTCAGAGGAACCACAGGTTAGATGCACGAAATAAAATATTTCACGCTGCTTCATATATTATCTTACTTCGAAACAAGAATATCTTCACTACTGCGTCTGTAACATAGGAAATTGCTGCAACATTTCGATCGGTCTTGACTATGATCTTATTCCGATCTTCTTCACGCAGAAAAGCCTACAGCTACGTATGTCGATTCACATTGAGTTTTGATTCATGAATTCACAGCTGCATCGACATCCTGTCAGCAAAGTAATTCAAAATGAAAGCTATTTTCAACACATTTTTGCTATGATGAGGACTGGGATGTTCAGGCGAAAGCGAAGCCTTCGTGACCATACTCGTATATTTGAACATCGATCTTTTGTTTATTTATTTAAAATAATAATGGCTATGAAACAGGGGGTCTCTAAAGAGTGGCGTGAATTTGCAAATCTAAATCCATTTCAGTCCCAAACTATAGCCAAATTTTCAAGTGGATTTGATTTCAATATGCAGCCTTTCTCCATGTCGAGTCGTTTTTGCATCAGGTAAATAGCCTCAGATTAGTTAGTTACCGATAATAATTTACCAGGCTAATGATGACTGTGGAGTTCATGAAATGAATGTTTAAAAGAGCATCGAGCAAATGAACAATACCGTTAGGTCCTACTTGGTTATTCTGCGGAGTTTTATAAGCCCGCCCGGACAAATATTCCCTTCCTATAAACACAACATATCGATTTTGGTTTCCTTTTCTTTGAATCAATTTGTTTATTTATACAGCGTCGGCGTATAGCGAGGTGTTATGAACGTAAGTATACCCTTTTGACATATACGAGTAGTTTCAAGTATCCGTACTTTACGCTAATATGGTCGAGATTATAAGAGACATCACCATATTAGGGCCTCGGGCGCAGAATAAATTAACGCGTTTGTTTCCTCATATAATTTGTTCAAAGGTGAACATTATCCAACAACATTTCTATGAGGTTTTGAATGACTTTGTATTTCATCATCCAACACTCAACAAAATTTAAAATCAACAACAAAAAGTCGGAATGAAATACTGATATTTATCGAAATAGTGGTCCTGTTCCGAATGGAATATATTTATCGGTGGATGGTCAATATTAAACAATTTGTCCCAATTTCAAATGTAAATTGGTCACTTTATAAGAAGCACTTTATTTAGTTTAATTTCTCACTAGTAGAAGCATCAGGCAGTGATAATGAAAACCTCATTTAAAAAACAATAATATCAGATAGTTAACGATAATTTATCCTGAGATTAATAAGACACTGTCGAGTGGTTATATTTATAAAACCATTTTTCATTTATTTTGTACTGATTTAACATAACTGATTACAGCATCATAAAATAACATATGTCATTTCTGTTGAAAACCCATCATATCGTCTTCAACGTTATTGCTTTTTTAAATTCGAAACACGTAAATCGTGAACGCGAAACCCTGTTTCCGTTGTAATTTAGATAGCGGATTGCTAATCAATCAGTGCCTAACGCCATCTTATTGGACACGAAGTGGACATAACGATCGTTTCAATATTATGTTGTTGTTGTTCTTGTTCTTTGAGACGTTTTTAAAAAGTCGCTTTTCTCTTCGAATACTGGACCAATTGCTTCGAAATTTTCAGTGGTTAAAGATTATTTTTTTCGCTAGAAGGCTATTACTTTTATTTATTTCAAAATTTTGCGTGAATTCTATGAAATTTGATATTTCGTCTAAAATTTTGCTGTATTATTTTTTTTCCATGGGAACACGGATTTTAGTCAGTGTCATGACTGGCTGTACGTTTTGATTCTGCAAAATTCTTGCTACTGGAAATTCAGAACTTTTTTGAGGGTACCGGTAGAGTCAAAGGTACCGGTAAGGACTGATTCGCTCTGGTCTAACGTGTCCATATATTTGTGCGTAGCTCACTTGTTCGTATTGGAATTAGGTGGACGTTGGCGATTACTATTATTATAGTTACCATTCGTAATCCTATGGAAGTCCGAACAAGCTGTACACAAATGCCCTATATTATTCCCGTCCACAAAGACGAAAAAAATAAAAGACGAAGTTGATTCTGAGGCTTAGCTAATCGCACATACAATTTTCCCCAGATCTTGGTGAATTATCCACGATACTCATCGCATATATTAATAAATACACGACGCTGAAATTCGGTTTTTCATATTTAACTTCTGGTTTGACACAATGATCCATACAGACGTGACATAAACTTACATTTTCAATGTATTTATTTATTTAGACAAAAACATACTATATAGTGGCTAAAATAGAGCATTGAAGCAATAAAAGCAAAGACCAATATAATATAATATACAAACTCACAATGAAATCAAAACTGACAATCAAGTTAATGGAATTAATATGGTTTTCCAGATTTAAATCGGTCAGTATTTGAAATTTGACCAAGTAAGGTATAATTGTTTCTCGAAACATACGAATTTATCAAGTAAAAGAAATCGCCCCCCCCTGCAACGGAGGTAGGTGCAATAAAGCAGACATAAAAAGCAGCTATCGATGCAAAATACGCATGGTCCAAGGATGTATTTGAACTACACATTTAAACAACAAATTTGCACCAATTTGGATTGCATGTAACGTAAAAATCGCATCAAATATAGTGGTTTGTAAACATAATAAATGCTCTAAACAGAGTTAAATGATAGTAATTCAATGCAATCTGTTACAGATAGTTTCAAATAAATAGCTCAACACTATGCGAGTTGTTCAGGTGAATTTAGGCAAGATTCAAAGACTTGGAATCGTGTTGCTTAAAAATAATTGTGACAATCATTTTGTTACACTCTGATAACAAAATGGCATAATACATTATTGACAATAAGTTATTGATTCCTGTGGCGTTTACAGAAGTCTCTCATAAATTCGACAAGTTTTTCAGTTTCCTCTTGGCTTACAGAGTTATATAAAGATGCCCGTATACCACCGACGGTCCTGAACGAAAAATAAACAAAATATTGAGATCGATGTCAAATGTACTTAAATTAAATATGACATAACTATATTTTCATGGGGCGACATTAAAATACTTTCCAGTCTCCAAGGGAAAAATAATTTCACGTTGTTTTCAAATATTCTTGTTTTTATTTAAGCTAATTAGTAATTAATACCTGTGGCCTTTCAGTCCGATCATGTCGAGCGATTCAGCTTCCACCAGAAACTTCTTTTCGATTTCCGGGTCGCCATTTTCACCTCCGGCTCTGAATGGTACGTTCATTGAGCTGCGACAGTTCTTTTCAACCGGACAACTACATAGTACATGGAGAATTATATTAACAGCTAGATAAGACGAGCTTTTACAACATCACATATGCCCAAAGGCAGAAGTATCATAATCAACGAAAAAGAATTTGCTTTTTTAGTCGGTAATGATGTTGGTTTGATCTGCTTGCTTGCATATTTGATAACCTTGTAATCGCAAAAATTTTGTCTCTTCGTTAGGAAGTACGACAGATGCGTTCACGCAGACGCCGAATAACTTTGAGGCAGTTGCAAACTGACTAACAAACTAATTCTAATTACACTTTTATCGTGTTCAATACAAGGTTTGCCTGACTATACCCACCTATAAAATCCTTCAGAATTATCGATGGTGGAATAGAGAAGATTGCTTTTTATGCAATTCTCCTTGAACAAGACTGATACACCTCCAACTGAAGTTGCCCACTTCAACACAAGCGACATGATATAGATGCTGTAGAATAAAAAAAAACGTGATTAAAGACTATGATGACGTGAAGCGACGTCTGCTAGAAATTATTGATTCACAGACATGGAGAGATCATTGCGTTAAAATTACCCAGACCGAAAGTAAATACGAAAACTACAAACTAATTAATTACCTGAAACAAGATGGAGTGTTATACAAGGAATTCGTGTCGGCTTGACTCTTATAGTTTAGTATGGAAGGACATTCAGGAATGGCAAAACTCAGCAGATCTTCGCGAATAATGACAACTGTGACACCTGCGCAGCCGATGTTCTTCTGTGCCCCAGCGAAAATAACACCAAACTGGAAGGAAGGAAAAAAATAGTGTTATTAAAAGTTTAAATAATACTGAGAAATCAATGGCATAACACGTTGCGTCAGTCGATGGTAACAAAGAATGGGCGAGAAAGCAGTTTTTAGTCAGGTTTACGTTCATCGAAATCCCATCGGAGCCAAGTATCTTTGCTATTAATATAGCGTACATTGGTGTAAAAGTGACTCACTTAATTGTTCGCCAGATAGTGAAGATGGGTCTATCAAATCGATTACAAGAAATTAAAATCAATTTGCTGCCAGTTAGTAACATATTATACAACAAGCGAAAAACTTTCTACGAAGCAGTACCAAATCGTACTTTGTACCATGTACTTTCAGCCTACTATTATAACCTACATTTTTCAATTGTAAGCATATTCACGATTGAAATTTAGGTCAGCAATCGGAAACAAACAGCATTTCAATCTTTGGAATTAGGATATATCATGGCCATTGTACTATACTGTAGGAAGCCTTTGACATAACCAGCGATTAATCCGCATCAGAATTACATACCACATGCAAATATAGACCTCCCTATATGGACGGGTAATATTCACACACAATTCAGACAAAATTTAAGGAAAGTGCATACAAATTCACCACTTGTAACTATTACCGATAACAACAATCAAAAACACACCGGTAATTTATCGCCATTTTTACTTGTGTGTGACGTTCGGGCATCAGTACCACACCACGATTGGGACGGTCAGTTTGAAGACGATCTGGTTTCCTGTTATTATCTACCTCCATGACTACTTTTAAAAAGAGTCGGTCGAACTCGGCCCAAGCTAAGTAAGCATGATACCACAGATAGTCAGACAAAATGATTTTTTCATAACAAAAATTTTTTTTTATAAATTTCTAAGTAACCTTGGAAATGTCTACGTGACGTGACAATATATTTGACGACATATCCGTAACAATGGGAACGCCGTTCGTTTCTGGAACATTTGAAAATTCGACACCATGAACTGTTTCGTTGGCGCAGTAGTAAACGTACGAGGCATCCGGATTGAAAGTGCACTGCGGAATTTCTGTAAAAAAAAGATATACATACGTAAAAGAATTAATAAAAAAAGGCTGAGAAAACAGGTAAAACAATATTGATTACCAGTTTCAAATACAATGATCAAATATTTACTTACTGGTATAAGAATCTGACTTTGGATGAACGATGTTTATAGTCCCGTATTTCTCCGCCTGGAAATAACACAATAACATTTTATTATGGGATGGGTTATTAGACTAAGTATCAGTCGTAGTATAATTACCGCAGTCTTTTCGATAGAAAGGATTTGTTAGGAAATGAATGTGAAACAACGATAAAGTGGAGCGTGTCATTTATTACCCGTACAAAACCAAACAACAGTTCATGTGTGACTAGGCAAGGTAAGGCTGTTAAAAACATTTTGCCAGTACTTATTAAGTTTAATTGATATTATTTTCGACTTTTATAACATAATTATTCATTCATTAAAAACAATAAAAATAAAAATAACCTCCTTTGCTGCTTTCGCGGACCATGTGCCAGTTACAATATAATCTGCCGTCTTAGTGGGTTTCATTGCGATCAAATTCATTGCAACGGCACTAAATTGGCCACAACCTCCGCCTTGAAGAAAAAGAATTTTGTAATTGTCTGGAATGTTCCTGAAAATCAAGAAAAATCAATTGAATGGTGAAAAAGTTCAAAAAATCTGAAGAAAAGTTTTGATACTTACAGTAAAGTTTTTAAAGAGTTTTTGGCATCATTTGTAATTGCAGCAAAATCAGCTGAACGATGACTCATTTCTGTAAACAAAATGGCAATGTTGTTAATGTGTATGTAAAATTGCAATGTTGTTAAATAGCAATGTTGTTATTATTGTGTATGTAAAACGCATAAAAATAACATACAATTATCAAGTGCTCCCGCTCATTTGTGTATCCACTAGTGACTAGTCACTAATTATGAAAGTCAAAATAAAATGTACTCGTGCACGTGCGCGTGATATTATGCTAAAATAAATGAGTGACATTTTTCTTGGCAATAAAATTGGGATACAATTGAATTTAAAACGGTTGCGCAATGATGCTTACCTAATACGCTAATTCCTAGGCCATTATAATTCATCAATTCGCTTTGTGCTCTTTCCAAAACCTGTAAAACAGAAAGATTAACTGTAAAGCTTCATTTATATCTTGGCTTTGGAATTTCGGTTCCGTTCTCTGATTAGACATGGTTTTTTTTTGCGCCGTTTCGTCACGTGATTTCCTTCGAGAGCACAATCATCGAATATTCTTCCAATTTTATCTGCCGTGGGTGCCATTTATCTACAACGTAAGTGATAGTTAAAGAGGTCGTCGGCTTGTTAAGAGTCATATAACAAGGGAAATGGTCAATCGCCACGTCGTAGGGCTGATGCAACTCTGAATCATTTGCGTGGTATTTAATTCCTGACGTTCTGCTTGATCTACCCCGTTGATGTTTGATAATGATACTTTCAAAAATGTTAATAAAAAGAAACAATACGTATAGACAATAATATAGCCCGTCGAAACCGTACGATGCGACTCCACCTTTACGTGTAAATTTAGATTTGGGAGGCTGCGCATGGGCCACAGTTGAGTGTTCTGTCGAGAATTGATTCACGCACACGCTTTGTCAGACAACAACACGTTAACTGTAATCATAGTTTCAAATACCTGGTTGACTTATAGTCTATATTTTATTGATTATTATCAGATACCTTGGAATTCGAAATCGTAACTTCTGCCCCGTCGATTGCCGTATTTCTATTGTACTCAGATTAGACCAAAAATGTAAGCGAAAAACGTGAACTGAAAGCTTCCAGATAGCATGAGATTGTCTACCAATAAGTTCTAGCTCTTGTAATTATAGCTAACTTTTCATTTTTAAAATTTCTAAAACGATTATGAATTTTCGACATGTGAATGCGAGTTATCTATGAAAGGTATGACAGATACATCAGCTCACATCATTTGATTAATTAAACGACAATATCAAATTGTATTGATTTACAACAAAATACAGAAAAAAATCACTGAGACATATCCGAAACCACTCACCGGCGTCGGCAACTTCGATGGTCCGGGATTGAAGTTGATTTTACGCTGAAGGTCGGGTTTCATATATCCATTCAACACTTGTTCATTTCCAATTCCGTTCATTTTCACGTTTTAATCCGCAGATACCAGTTACTCACAATATAAATTAGTAAATGCTACGTAAAAGAACAAAACACAATGTTTACAAACAATACCACTACGAAATCATGATGCCTTTCTCATTAACAAATTGATTACTGTACCGTATTGGATAATAAGGCTCGGATAAGTGTGCTAACCAGGCACATACACAGATCACCTCTGAAAACGCCCACAAAACTATGAGACATAATACTTCCGAAGGCAGGAGCCCAACTAATGCCTACGGCAACTTTACTGAAAGAGAGGGAGTCGGTGTTTTCAATTCATTTTATATAACGAATATTGTGATCTAAACGTCACGCGTAAACGAAACGTTCTTTTTTTACGTCACAGTGCGTGAAATTGAACAGCTGATTTATGAATGAGAGACGCTCACCCGACCATATCAAGCTTTGGACATGTGGAGAAAAGATCACGCTTACCACGCATGGTTTTCTGATGAATGTCGCGTGCTTACATGTGCTCTTAGTTTGGGTTGTTATATCACGCAAAAACCACAATCACGGAAACATACACCTTCAATACAGTATTTTTCCACTATTTGCCGATGACCTAGCATTTTAGCCAGAACAAGGACATGGTAAGAGCCTTTAGCAGTAGCCGTATTTAAGTTCTTTCATTATATTTATTTGCATAAAGTGTTTTTTTCTGTTTGGAGGGAAATATAAATTACTGATTACATACTAAGAAATTTTCATGCGAATAACTGAGCCTGTTGCAATTCAAAAATTTGCTACACAGTATGTCGCCTTCAATTTCGCTGTAAGTTTGCATATTTGTACATCTTTGTATTAATCGACCAAATTTTTTTAGCCCGCTTTTTTAGACATTCGGGCTAACGAGCACAATGAAATAAAAACAACAGATATAAATATTCATGTCTCTGCCCGGAATGAACTGGATAACCACGAAATAACCATACAGCCTGCTTGTCATCAGCTACCTTACAAAAAAAAAAGAACGAAATTTGCTAAAAAGACTCATAACCACATTGTCAGTAAATACAACACATCAAAACAATAACGACGCGAAGGGCAATGCAAAGTCATTCAATACGATTTCGTGGAATCGGGGAGTCCTAGTGTTCATTATTTGATACAGTGCTGTTCTGGTCGTTTAACTCACTTTAACTAATTAGATGATAATAAAAGAGAATTTGAAGCGAGAATTAAATAAAACTTATCAGTCCGGTGTCATGCGTACTAATCATATGATAGGCCAGGGAATGGGGACCAGCAATTACTTTCTCACCACAGAATATTCTCAAGAAACTGAACTGCAATCGGAAGATATCGTGAGTGGTGTTTAAACTGGACGAAAGTTGAGACTTTCTACCACTTCTTGATGATGTGATATCCAGGCTCCTTAAAAATTAAAATATAATTCGCCCAAAGCTATTTTGCTTAGTATAAGTGTATATACTGGATGCATCACGTTACCATTTTGCAATAACGTGAAGCTTTGGTAAGCAATTTCCATCTGGAATTTATGTGAAATTTTGGAATTCATTTTATATATATACAAAGCAACAAAAAGGTATCCTGAGCATTCACATGCGTATTAATCATAGACTGTTTTAATAAATTAAATTGTAGATGATATACAGGCTTGCCAATACTGGTATGTAAAAAAGATCACTTCAGTTATGTAAAACTACATTAAACAAAACAGAAGTAGGGAGAAGTGGACTATTCGTGTTGGCGAGACCAGATCAATACATATTAATAGAAAAAAATATTTATATACTGAAAAGGCTGATTGCGTAACTGAGGCTCGAAATTTGGATATATATATGTCAATTTTGATCTCAGGGTTAATAGAATTCCAAATTTCACTTTGATATACCCAGGGACGGTTTGCACCGGCTTTGAATTAAATATAGGGACGAAAAAATATCTTTTTTTAGTGATCGGATGTGTACGAAATACTGTACCGTGAAATATTTAAAAAAAATCTGTCGACAACTAATCGGACGAATGTTGGTGCATTAGTTTCGCAACCTCAAAAAGACTTGTCTCTCTGCGTTGATAGTGAAATACCATGATAAAAATAAGAGACTACAGGATTTCGCCCCCGTTTTCTGATCCTACTGGTACGCTTCTGGAGATGAATACCCTGTACAATTTAAGGGAAACATTAACAAAAGTGCAATTTTACCGTCACAACATGCAATTTGAGCATAATTCGAGACTATTTAATAATTCGAATCGATTCAGACCCGTTTTCTGATTCACCACCATATGGTTTTCGTCTTGGAGTATTTTCACCACCTCTATATTTGCTACTGTTGAAAATGTATTGCGGAGTTACCACGCGCTATTTCACTGCTACGTAAAACAGTGAGGTATCTTGCCTGCTCGTATCGTATTCAATGATTAGTTTGAAGTCTACGAGATAAGGTTGCCATTCGCACCATCATGGCTTAACGAATGTGGGATTTTATCCTGATGTAACTGAATGCAAAACAAGATAAATATGTGGTGTTCAGCGATTAATTTAATTTTTATATTGCTTCGCAAGCTGAAAAAGTTTGATAAAAATTGGTTTACGTGCACCACCCTGCGACGACACGGGGTCCAGCCACCCTTCCGCATCCAATGGATGTTTTCCTGACCCTAGAAATATTAAAGTTTACTAAATTTTTGATTTCTTTTTTAGGAATTTATTTTTTGAGTTTTATTTTGTCGCTTACAAACTGATTTGCATCTTTATATTTATCATCTTACTAGTTGAGCCAATGTTAACAAATTGAACAGTTCGACGTCGGTCTTGGCCACTGTAACATAGACCGTGGCTATGGGCACCGAACTTCCATTGTCTCCGCGCTAATTCTAATTTATACACTGTTTTCCTACTTTACTGCACTCATAATAATCCCAACGTAGCATTCGAGAAAAGAAGTTTTTTGCACCTTCTAAATCTTGTAATACGTGCAACATTATCATGCGTCGAAACTACCTAGATAGGGGAAAACTAGGATTTGAATGGACCAGGCTAAACACGGAAATCTATAGTCAATGAAGTACTCGCGGTTGAATCTCTTTTTTAAACTTCACAAAAAAGTCTCTATACAATTTTAACACGGCTAATTTTGTTATAATCAATTGTTGTTTTCGTCGACACCACGTGATTACGTAGGCCGCTTTTTGTATGGATTATTCGGTAGTTTGGCGGGCTCTTGCAAAATAAGATTTTAGGGGGAACACCATGAAGGCTTTGTGTTGGGAAATTTAAAATGGCACGAGACGCTTTACATTGCATGCTCTGCATCGGTAAAAGAAAATAAAGTTTTGAAATATTTGTCCAGTGCTTGTTTCTGTCAGGATGAACCCCCTCGAATAAATAAAAATCTTCCCTCGGAAGTCTGATTAAATATGATTCGAATAACCAAAAAAAAAACTAATATTGTATTGCAATATTGCAGTAAGAATATCTTACTTAACTATATGGAATCGCGGTCGATAGCAAAACAGTATGTATGATACAATCATAATAATCAAATAGGGGGGCCTCAAACACAGAGTTAAAACTCAAGAATGACGGTTTCAAACTAAAAGCATCTGGGCAACCGAATTTTGTAGTTTTATGTTTTATATTAGTACCCTAATTATGTCCGATTGAGTTCGAACATCCACAGAACTCCAATTTATGCACTGGTACCTAAACAATTTTGCATCAGTCGATAGTGAATAAGTATATTTTTATTCCCATTCAGTGAATAGAAATTTTGATTTATTCGAGAAATTCGCGAATAACTTTCGTCTTGGTGAACCCTAGAAAAAATACAACATTTACATCATTCGGTTTATGTTTTCGATACGCGTTCGTCAATACCTTAGTCCAGTGGTTCTCAGCCGGGGGTCCTCGGACCCCCGGTGGTCCGCGAAGCATTTCCAGGGGGTCCGCGATTAAATTGAGATTTTACGAAATTACTTGCAGTTTAATATCGTTTTTTTTTTTGTAATACGCTCGAACATTTGCTGCCTATGACAATGTGAAAATAGCCTACAAAAACTATTTTGATTTATCTCCCGTAAATCTATTGTGACAAATACGAGTTATGACATCACAATAATAAATACCAGAACGCAGCTACAGTGATTTCAATGGCATGTGGTCACTGGTCACGTTCTCATTTGAAGCGAAGTAGCTAGTTGTTCTACAGCCAACGTGTAACAAAAGAGATTGTGTTGCTTACTAAAACTCCAGTATGGCTAAATCAAGAAAGTACTCCGAAAGTTATTTTAAAATGGGGTTTACCTCAGTGTCAGAGGGTGGCAAGGAAAAACCACAATGCGTTTTATGTTATGCTGTCCTCAGCAACTTTCTCACAACTCACAAATCACTTTCTCAGTTTTGGTGCGCCAGTTTGCCGTCGTACCCAAAAGTATCCATGGAAGCATTACGTGTTATTGTTCCATTCGCCTCCACTTATCTTTGTGAAAGTGGATTTTCTGCTCTCGTTCATATCAAATCCAAGGCTCGTAATCAACTAAACGTCGAAGACGATATGCGTCTATCGTTATCAAAAACACGACCACGTATGTCAAGACTTGCTTCTGATATGCAACAGCAGAAATCCCATTAAGTGTATTCGATTTGACGAAATAAATGAAAATGTCCACTAGTTTGGTGTTATTTTTGACTTGGTTAAAATTTGCATGGAACATTAGGTAGCTGTTTAAGCTATAAGCTAAATTTTAAATAAAAAACTTCTGAGGGGTCCGCGACCGCTTTGAGAGCACCAGAAGGGTCCGCAAAGACAAAAAAGTTGAGAACCAGTGCCTTAGTCGATTAGATTGAAATAGTAAAACAAAAGTTTGAAATTTCGAAAGCCAAATCATATCAGGCAAGCAACACTACCCTCGCATATCGGTATTTGCGTTAACCGTGTTTTTGCTGTAACGAAATGAATTTATTTTTGTTGTATCTAAATGTATTATATTATACGCACCTAACTTTATGTAACGTTGTGTCAGCTTGTCTAGAATCTCTTTTCGAGTAAAAGTTTTTGGACCTAACTTTGGGCAACAATATACTTTTTATCGATTTTCAGTCCATGCTTATTTCGACGTCTTTGATAAAGTGTCAGACATAATTAAATAAAGTTTAATATATTTTGTCACCAATGGTATGTTCGAATTACTCCAATCCATTAGAGTCTTGTTTTGGGCAAATGTGTCAAACATAGTACAATAAATTTGCGGCACTTTGCACGCAAAGGACGTAAGACTCCATACTGGGTTATTTTATATTTTAGCTCCAATCGTATAATGAATGCGATCGGTAATGTAAAAACTAATATATTACACCTGCGGAAGTATGCAACTCAGTTTCATGTCATGATTCGATAGTTGTGAGTGTAATTGCCAAAAGTCAATACCTAGTTAAATGCACATAGTGCAATGACGTATCTCGTCGTGGAAGATGAGGAATGAATGATTTTTTATCTAGATTCTAGATTAACAATTATTACAAAAATTTTCTTAATATTTCTCCTGTTTATTACATTTTATAGCATTTATATTCGGTCAAAATTATGAAAAAATCACGTCGGTTTTAAAATTAACACAATATTTACTATCATACGATCTTAAATTTTTCGACACTCAAAATAGACAAAATACAAGGCTTTGTTAAAAAAAATACGTTGCGAATTTGCAATTTAATTGTAGCTCGTGTTTGAGTGAGAATTCTCAAAATGTTTTTTTTTGGTCAAAAGTCGAAACTCAATGATTAGGTTTTATAAAAAATTATTTAAACATTGTACATCATTTTAAACGCAATCTTTACAGAATATTCTTGAAGTGTCAATTAGTTCGGCTTTGCAAAAAGTTCAGGAAGATGATATCGGAAAGTATCTTCCTCGATAATTTCATCAACGCGAGGAATGAACCAGCAGTCAACTTCTTCCTTTCGACTGTAATCGTGCATTGTCTTCATCTCAATGTAAACAGGTCTTCGACTGAACGTAACATACTTTTTGTTAATAATAATGATTAATATTAAAAGGACTGTTTAGTATAAGTAAAACTATATTAGCACATGAAGGAATGAATATAGAGTAATAAGAACGACTACGAGGTGAAAAAGAAAGTTTGGTGTGTTTAATATGCATTTGGAAAACGCTTCCAGTCGCAGTGAAGATTACGTTTTATTTGCTTGTAGATAGGAATTCTGTGGTCCTATCATGCGGTATGTAAAATGAAAAACAAGAAGACAGTAATAAGAAATACTTACTTATACCACAGAATTCCTTGATCATACTCCCCGTTCGAAAATTCAAGTAGCGCCTCTTCTTTCTTCTTTCCATCGTTGCGTTCAAGAAAATTACCGAGAACTCCCAATGCATTTTCCGATATTCCTTCTCGTTCAATGATCGAAAAATCTAAGTGACTGGCTACTCTGTCTTCATGTGTTGATATCAATTTGAAAATCTGTGAAGCCACAAAGTAATTACACACTAAAAATTCACAACCCATAAGTGTTAATTCACCCCTATGACAATTAGTTATTCAAAATGTTCCTCAGTACTGTAATTTCCAGCAATTGTTTATAATAAAACAATACCACGCTACTTGAACTACTTCCAGTATAGCGCCAATAGTCAAAAACATACAGTAATCATTTTTTCAGTGCGGTTTCATTATCCTCCGCTCAAAGATGAGTATCATTTACTTTTCAGTGAGTGGTCGCAACGTTGTTTTAACAACGTCTGTTGAAAATCACATAACAAAAAGACATATAAATGCAAAAAAGTAAAATTTTACCAACCCTGAACACAACTCCTGGCATAATTTTCAAATACGTTGCTCCTTTGTGTTTGTTTGTAGCGTCGATGGAAATTTCAATATTTTCTACTTTTGTTTTCTTAGATTCGGTGAGTGAAATACTGACAAAATTTCCATCAGTATTGTTGATGATTGTCAGATTTTGACAAGTAATCTGAATAATATCAAATTCAAAACATTGATCATTTTTGAACAGGTTGTTATTGAAGAAAATGTATTTGCTCTTTTTTATGGTTATATTAATTGAAATTGAATTCTGTCAAATGTTTCTTTCTGCTACGTTCTATACTTTAAATATATACATTTGATTCGACATTGAGTTAGCTATATTACGACGGGTTCACGGTTCATTTCAATTCTATATATTATATTTTTATATATGTGAATATCATACGTGAATCGTGACATTCTGGCGAGAAAGAATAATTCCAACTTCATCGACGTAAGTTCTTTTGTGCTTCAGACCAGCATTGTCCAGAATTTTAAGTTTTCCGTTTACAATTATTCCATTTTTTTTGTCATCAATCAAATTGAAAATCTAATGAAAGATAAAAATTAAATAAAAGTATTTCAAACGCAACATGCCTTTGGAAAAATTCAGTTTTCAAAATAACGTGTTCAGAAATTGCCCTGCCCATACGCAATATATAATCGATTCAATTTTCAGCATCAGTTATCAGTATTGAAAAATACGAGGTATATATGCACAGAGAAAAAAAATCGCAATTCAGGATGTAAGGAGACGACAAAAACTAATTTTGGTTATCGAGGGGCGGTACCGTTGGGACAGTCTAATGAACATGATAAATAGAATAAAGGGTAAACAAAATATGTTGTTAAAAAACTAGCTGCACAAAAAACAGCTTTACAAAGTTATGTTTCCAAATATAGTTTAGAATAGTCTTAGTCATAAGTTTGATATAAATTCAAAATTTACGCACCTGACCTTGGTCTCCGAACCAGTCAAAACAAATTGTAATCTGCTCACTAAGCGACACAATAAAGTGAGGATCTCCGAAGAATCCTGGAGGGGGCATAGGCATAGGAAGTCTCTTACTTTCCATTATCGCCGGCCTTGCCGGTTTTGCAGGGCCTCCAATTATTCGTCGGGTACTTGGCATCGGCCTGGAAAGCCTCCTTGTTCCCCCTACAATTCGTCCTGCTCCGGAACCTGCACTTCCAGCTAAACCTGCCATTCCATCTGAAAATAAACTTCCATCTAAAACTGCCATTCCAGATGAAAATGCACTTCCATCTGAAACTGCCATTCCAGATGACCCTGCAATTCCACCTATTGTTCTACCCGACGATACGGCAGGCATTCCTGGAGATGAAGAAAATGACATAAATGATGCCCCATCCGCTTCAAATTCCTCATCAAAGGAAGAGTCTTTACCAAATGCATCCTGAATAACAAATAGATTTTTACACAAAGTTGGTGAAAATTAGGCATAGGCGTTAATGCTCGAAAATATATATGTATATATATATAAAGTAATGTTCCCGATGCTTTATTATACCATTTACAAAACCGTTTGCATATTTCACGAAAGAGACTTTACTATCATCAGTCTTATTTATATCCAGTCAATATAAGTTATCAAGTCAATACGTTCTAACAAAAGATAGCAATTGATCCTTACCCCACCAGCTGCAATGTCTGAATGATGGAATGATGGAGGTGTTGTTGTCGTTGTCAGGAATAATTTTGTTGCTGTCGGTTTTGGTTTTCGTGTTGTTCCAGCAACCCTTGGTCGTGTTCTTCTTCTCGGTTTTGGTTTCTTGGATGGTCTCTTAGATCTTGGAGTTGTTGTCATCATTGCCGTGGATGTTATTAGTTTATCTAATTCTATTGCCTCGTCTTCATCTTTTTCATATTCTTCTTCTTCTTCCTTTTCTTTTTCTCTTTCTTCTCTTTCTCTCTCTTCGCGTTCTTTTCTTTCTTTTTCCTTCTTTTCCTTTTCTTCTTTCTCTTTCTTCGCCTTTTCTGCCAGTTCTTTTTCTATTTTCTTTTTGTCTCCGGGTTTTAGGACAACCATTGAAGTTATTCCAGGAGTCACAAAACTAAACCTAGCAAGCAAAACCAGTATTTCAGTTTTCTCAAAGGGCGCGGAATACACTCATCACCACATTTGGGGATTGAATTAGTTATTTGATAATTAAATTGCTACCGAACGAATCTGACTGATTTGTTTCTAAAATAAACCATTCGTTATATCTGCTATAAATAATTTACTCATAAAAATTTTACTCACTCAAGTGATTGATTGAGAGTTTGTTTTTTGAGTTCTTCTTTAACGGTTTCATTATTCTCGGCAGATATTCTTTTCAACATATGCTGGAGCTCCATAAACACATTTAATCGTTCTGTAAAATTTTCGATCTGGAAGGCCAGGAAGGATGAGCATTTATATAAAGTAAAAGCGTTGATATTTCGAAGCAAGATAACCATTAGACACTAAAATACGGACCAAACTGTGGTTAGGTAGAATTTGTTTTAATCTACTACGCAGAAGTTTTGTTACAATGATATATTGTTTCTGGCCAAATATATCAATCTGTAATTACTCGGATATCGAGTGAATGACATGTTGTATTTGACATGAATTATGTCATCGAATAGCAATGAGTTATATTCTACCAACTTGGAACTTCTTGACTTTTGTGTAAAATATACCTGAGTAGATTCCTCCAAACATTTTTCACCTGGAGGCGTCGGCTCCAATTCTACATCGAGAAAGAATTCTTTTTCATCTTTTGCTTTTCCAGAAACAGTAAAATCAATCATTTGGGCAGTAAAGGTTTCTCTACGCCTCCTCTGGTTTTGACGTCCAACATCAGTCAGTCTTCCTGTAACAATTATTTCGGATCCAAAACAGATTACTGGAAAGATTGGCTCTGATGTAGATTCAACCTAAAAAATAATTTAATCACTACAATATCACGCACTTAGAGAAGGGTATTCAAAAAATCTATTCAAATACAAACCTCTATTGGATCATACTTGATCTCTATGTCGTGAAGCATAGGTCGAGCAAAAGTCTCAAAGTAGTCTGAAATCTGGGAAACCAAAAAAAAAAAGTTTATTTCTCATTTGTGTTGTAAGCAAGATATACAGTATGACTAACTCAGATATGACATCGTTCAACTGCTTAAAGTTTTTGCGTCAAATGGTTTTATGTTTGCCTCGCCATTGTCGCCATTTTATATTGTTTCAGTAAATCTTTGCTTTTATTGATCGCCATATATTTGCTCAGACATGAGCCTTTGTTTACCACTGAATGAGTGTGACCAGTAGTTGGATCCAAAATTTTAGAACAGATTCTCGTTTGTATCGAACTCTTTAACAACAGGTTGCCTTATTTCAAAACATATATATATGTGAGTGTCGATACGGAGGCTGAAATAGCATGCCACGTTTTTATATAAATCTAATATATAACTCTCAAACGACAAATACGAGAATATCGGTTGGAAACCGAAGACTTATCGATCGATAGTTAGGGGATCCCCAAAACAGAAACTGCAGTTTCGATTCATCCGCTCTTGTAACTTGCGCACTGCGCATCGCACACACACACTCGGCGGGTTTCAAAATTCTCTCGCTTTACAAAAATCTAGATCACTATATCAATAATTGATTAATAACTCGCTAATTATACGACATAATTCGCCCAAAATCAATAGGCCTCTGGTCCGAGATAAGATGAATGCACATGCAAAATCTGGAGCAGATTCAATCTCGCTTTCGTGAGATATCGCGTGCATCTAACAGACACACACACAGACACACAGACAGACAGACATACAGACAAATACCTATCAATATACTTACCGATCTTAAGATCGATAAGTAATAACGCTAGTCTTCAACTGCTGTGCAAGTTACTCATGTTAGTCGTCTAACGTCTAAAACAAAAAGCAAGAACCAGTTCGCTAATTATCACGACATTCCAAGAACCGGTTCGCGCGAATCCTTGCAAACCTCCTGAATTTCACCACTGGGTGTGACCCTGCTTAGACCTAATTATATTCGCTTGAGAACAAGTTAAATAATGAATGACAAATATTTAAAACGAATAAATAAAGACAAATAAAATTTAATCACCCACCTGAGAATCGGCATCAATGTCTTCAAATATTTGTATTGATGACCCGTTATTTCTAGCAGCAATTTTTGCCAAAGTATCGGCATCTACGAGCGATCCAAATCCAACAGTGTGAATTCCATATGTCCTACTGCAGTTCAAAACCACATATATTTAAACATATATAATATTTAGAAAAAAGGAGTATTGATAATAAGAAGAAGATTCATACTTATTTGCATGGTCAATCAAATTAACAAGCTTTTTCGCATCTACTTCTCCGTCGGTTGGCCTTCCATCGGTCAGCAACAAAATGAAGTCAGATGAGGGATGGAATTTTTTTTCAGTTTCTGTCAAAGAATATTTAAACAACGTTACAAATATACCAAATATCTTAAAAAGGTTTGTCAAGCCAAAATGTTTAAATCCATACCTTCGGAAAATTCTTTTAGAACATTAATTGCTTCAGTGATTGCAGCTTCAATGTTGGTGCTACCATCTGTTTTTACTTTTCCAAGAAAATCTTTTGCTGAAGCTCTATTTTTATCAGTGGCCAATGTCATGCTGCTATCGGAGTCGGGTTTCCATCGAGTTACATTACTATTAAACATAACTATAGCAAAGTGGTCCTGTTAATATGAAGTAAAGATGTTAAATTCTGTGTCTTTGTAAAGAATGATTTTCTGAAATTATTCCGTTTAACAAATAAAAAGCGAAAGCACAGAAAACAAAATGTACACATAACAGAAATTCATCCATTTGTATAGCCTAAAGTAAACCATAGGATAAAAATATCAATTTTTTTTTAATATTCTTGAATGAGCTCGAAAAGTGGAAATAAAATCCGCACCTCATAACTAAGTCCGTCGATTATAACACTCATTGCCTTCCTAACTTGATCCATTTTGCGGCCGAACATTGATGCTGAACTATCCAATAAAAACACAACTCTCTTGCTCATTGACTCCAATTCGGGAGAAAAGAAATGTATAAAGTATCTGTAAAATAACGCGTACATGATCATTTGATGAAATTTACTGAAAATATATGGTGGATTCAATTTTTATATTTACCTGATGGAGAGGAAAGCCGATAACGAAACTTGATCATATTATACCACGGTTTAGCATATTATATACATATATATTTGAAAATCTAAAATAAAGCACATTTACTTTTCATCTGCTATAAGTTCATTAACTTTTTTGCCGCGACTTCTGGCAACATCATATTCAACGATAAATTTTCCATTCAATCCAAGAGGAGAAAGCTTTAGTTGTTCTTCGCGGGTTGGCTTGAAGGAAACGTGGGCAGTTGTTCTAAATAAAGCATTTAGTAAATATAAAAATTCTGGAATAAAATCTGATTTGCAGAATTTCAAAAGAAAACAAACCTTTGCTGGTCGACTGTCACACCAGGCATAGTCACAATTCCAGGCAGAACCGATTGTTCTGTGTCAAATCCAAGAACTTCAACTTTGTCCAGAGGTCTTGTCTCACAAATGTAAACGTCAATCGACAACTCTCCGACAGGTTGTTTTGTCTGCACTATTATGTCATGACGGTACCTTGAAAACAATTATCAAAAATTTAACAAACAAATTTTTACAGATTGTGTTTAATTCAAATATACATTCACATATAATTTTATCAGATGATTAATAAAAAATCATGGCATTAAGAATATTTTATTCTTAAGAAGTTTCATAGTTTTATACAAAGGAAATGAGCCAGACGAGAAGTATCACAATTCCTCATTTTTTTAATAATCTATCTTTCTTATACATTTAAAATTGCATCATACTTTCCAAGTGAGCGTCTCAGCAGCTGTTGATACTTGAGATTGAATAAAACTCTCTTGCCTGCTTCTAGATTTACCGAAGTTTTGAAAACTGTAGTAGATTTCCCACGAGCAGCAACGTGCCCGGCAGTTACACCTCGAGCCTAAGAAAATAGGTAATTTAAATTGCATAGAATATATTTGAATCAAATCAAATCCTATCTCTATCTCCTTTCTACGATATTAGTTATATTATGCGTGTTTCATATTCAAAGTTATGCCTACATCTCATTCACTGAAAATAATACAATGAGTGTTAATGTCGTCATTCTAAAAGTAAAACCGGCAATTTATTGCACTGTATGACCACTGTATGTACTGCAAGATTTGTATGGTGGATCAACTGATGAATCAAATTTTTTCAAATGATAGCGATAGCGACCTTTGTAATAGCATTTTATAATAGCAAAAACTTTAAATTGAAAATAGATCGATGACCTTGAAATCTTTTTTTCGAATCCCAACCAAGTAGTTTGAATGAACTTGTGTTTGTTTGTTACCTGAGCAGCTTCAAATATCTTTTTTGCTTCTTCTTTTTCTTTAATTTCACCAGGATATGTTTCGCCATCAATAGTCATTGAAAATTCGGTAATGTAGGAGTCCAATGGCATGATAACGTTGAATTCAGCAGTTCTTCCAATCGATGCACTGAGTGGTTGTTTAGTAGTAGATTTTATTCATTTTTGTATTTATTGTAAGGCTTGGCAGATCAGCAAGAGGAATGGCGTTTAGAAGTATAAATACATAGGGGGGAACAAAACATAGAAAAATCCTAGCCTACAATGAATCAGTACTAACTTGATATTAATGTACTGAGACTAATATATACGGATAAAGGTAAATTGAAGCAGTTTATTATCAAGGGCAACCAGTTTTCTAAATATTTGAAACTCACCACAAAGTCGCATATTAATTAGGAAATTTTAAACTCCGATTCAGTTTCTTACTTGTTATAAACGGTGCTAGAGACAGCAGTTTCAACGAATCTTGAGTTTATGTTGCTGACAATATGAAATGACTCAATGTCCGGTGTTTCTTTTTGTCCAACAATCAATCTGCATTGCTTGAAGATCAGATTGTTGGAATCTTTGGGACTCGCTATAAAGAAACAATGTTAAAAAACGTGAAACCATATATGAATTTCTTCCGATATAATATTTTCAGATTCAGATATTTCATTTTCGTCATGCATGAAATATTGTATCGACATAAGTAATAAAAAAATGGTAGCAAAAAGATCAATTGAAGTAAAGTGATCGTGTCAGCGACACCGTGTTTGCTGAGTTCATCAGCAGATGACGTCTAACAAACGTCAAATAAAATGAACTAATTATTTTTCAACAAAATTGAGAATATCATTTGGCAAAAACAAATCAAGTCGTGAGAGTCAGGAGATTAGTAATTAGAGAAATCAGTTTAGCTTATTAACGCCATGGTCAGATGAGCGCAAGGAAAACAACATGACACTGCGAATTTCAGATAACAGAAGGGGAGTGCCCTGCAATTGCCAGAGAGAAAATATATTACCGGTAGTAGATTTGGCTACGTCAATAACATTTGGACGAGCAAGTTTTAGTTAAAATATGTCACACTACAAACAATTAGAGTAATAAAGAATAGTGGATAATCTGCTTTTGTTTTAGGTATAGGATTTATAGTGAAATTGACAATGCCGTTTTCATTGTTTTCATATTACGGTAACGATGCAAAAGAGACAAATAAAGACAATCAAGGTGTTTTTCAGTATTCATCTTTTCAAAAATCTGATTTTTCGTGGGTGTTTAAAAAGTTGGAACCTATAACATATTGATTGCTATGTGCCAATAATGATAATCATGCAAACAACTTAAATATAGTATTTTAGTAAATCTAAAATCTGTTTACGGCATCCAATTGCAGTGTTGAAAATATTTACGCGCATATCAAGTATCGTCCTTGTAAAGTTGTTTATTTCGCACTTGACTTCGAAGTGCCTATTGATCAGGACCTAACACCATGGTTAGAAACACATCACTATTCTCTTGTGATCAGACGAGACAAAAATATTTAAAATTTTATAGTGGATTTATGAAAAATTTGTGCTGCATTTGGCGACACGGTAATTACTATCTAAACTAAACTAACTAGCTGTGAGATTATAACAATCAATACTTAACAAACCAATTAAGCTCGTTTTGCTGTTTATGTTGTTAATCGAGATCATACATGCCTAGCGATATATACATTCGATGCAACTTTATATAAAAAGCTTTCGAAAGAACTCCAGCTAATCAGTTGCTATTTTTCAGTACATGATAATGGCGATATATATCAATTTAACGGTATTTTACCTGTAATTGTAACGGTGCTGACTGTTCCCGTTTGTTCTCCTTTTCCAGCAACAACAAAGACTGAAAATTTTCCTGTTTTTCCTTTTTTAATTTCAATCTTTTTAGCTTCCTCGTCTCGAACGTATAGTCTGTTATCACTAGCTTCTACGGATAATTCTTCATCTTTTCCGAGGTTTTTAATATTTACATTCACGGTAGCATTGCCTCCAGCTCTGTTCAGAAGTATAAAATATACTTGCGTGAAGTAAACATTTCTCAGCATAAACTGTATCTTAAAATACTCGTCGAAGTCCAAACAATTCGTTAACTTTATCGAGTAAAATTTATAGAATGAATGATTAACGCTTTTATATCGAGTAATATAGCAAAATGCTTTATTTGAACAAAATTCATCAGCAATTAGCCGGAATTGTTGATAAACAACAGAAATATAGAGTGTTTAAAATTCATAACCTTCATGTTCACAAATACCATACCTGAAAATGGCATCTCTAAATCCTGAACAGTCAATATCAATAGAAACATATTCTATGAATGCCTGAGAAATTCTTTGGAATTTGTATCCGTTTTTGTCGACTCCTTTCACCACCACCATGAGTGATTTTTCTGGGTATTTGCCAAGTGTTATAGTGTAGTGATCACGCGATGTATCTTTAATTGGGAATTTGTAACTTGCATCGGAGTTTGTTGAAACAATTTCTACTTCTTCTGTAGTTTCCCCTGGTTGTTTTCCGAATTCATCAATAAAAACAACAACTTCGTCATTTGCAAGAGCTTGACCTATTATAATACATGTTATATATATCGGTATTGGTTTGCAAGTGAAAATGGGTGCACTTGATGTTGATATTCTACTATGTTTCTCCATTTAGCTTTCCTATTATTTCAATTAACATGCGAGATTACGAGGCATCATGTTATTATCAAATTTTATTTCTATTTTTACTATAGCGTCGGTACATAAAGTTGTTTAAGCCACTGATATCACCGATACATGACGATATGTATGAAGGTACTATTATTTGGAACGACTGGAACTTTCGGTGGTTCGGCATTACCTACTCAATTTAATATGCCCTGGGTGAGCGAGCATGGGATTTGAACCCGAGATATGTAATCTGCGATGCGATTACAGTTAAACCTAACACTTTATACACTAAACCTTCAAATCTTTCAATTCCTGCCATTCCTGATTTGCCTGTTGTTCTTTTTGCTAACGTTTTCACAAACCCTTTAGTGCTTTTTGCAGAAATCTATAATAAAAAGAATTATTTTTCTACCACATAGATTAATTGCAATTTATGACGAAAATATTGTTATAGTGATTATAATGAAGATATTTATTGTTAAAATTCCTCATAAAAGGTTGAAAATGGAACCTTACTGAATTTGCAATATATTACCTTGATGCTGCAATCTCCATTTGCATTTAACGTAAGTTTGTATTCACCAAATATATCATTCACTGCTGCACGGCGTACTTTCAGTTTATCGACAACAACTTCACCCTGGAGATGTTATTAGAAAAATTTATTAGAAAACTCAAGTCACAAAAAGTTTGGAATATATATATATAGCTTGTTGGAAATAACAGGGTTATTTTGTCGCATGTGATTGGAATTAATAAAAATTCCTTCAAGATATTTCTGATATAACTGTTAGATCTGTCAAAATGAATAATTGGTAAAATTCACCTCGAGTACGACTGTCTTGCCATTCGGTCTCTTTACTTGAATACTTCCACAACTTCCTTCAGATTCCAAATGTAATTCCTTTAATGAACTATCAACATTGAATGTTTCCACTTTCCTACCGCCTGATAACAAAATAATGCAGGAAAAAAAATCAAAGTGTGTATAGATAAGTGTGTGAGATATTTAATGCGGCTCTTCTCGATAGCATTGATTATTATCTAAATTTAACTAAGAGAAACTGTATCATTTTTTAAATTTTAGTAATGGGTTTTCATCAATGATTAGGACAAATTATGTTTGAGTATGAAAATCGTTGTAGCGTGGAATTTCAAATTTAAATCAGTCAAGCGATAAATCTTACGTCACAATGGTGAAACGTTTGTTGCTGTGCTGGCGGTATGCCTTGATACATAGGATTCACATATTTATCCCGAGGGAGAGGACAGTCGATATGACGGCCTAATCTAATGGCGATCATGCTCGGTTGCTAGCCAATGTTAGATATGGGACTAGTTATAGCCAGTTATTTGTTCTCAGATGCATGGACTTTATGGTTGAGGAAGTCGTGACCGACGAGCGGTTACGTGAACCACTCTGCTGCGGCGAGTAGTCCAGCAAGTCCTATCGTACATACTTAACCCAGCATGGCAGAAATTTATGACATCATTTAGCCCGGAATTCGATGCAACATCTGGAGCGAGTTTTTTTTGTTATATCATAAAATATTGCTCATGCTAAACAGCCATACTCTGACTGTGATTTGTGAAATAAAAATATTGCTGATGTTGTCGCAGTCTTGAATCCCAACAACACAAATCACTAAAAGCCCAAACGCCGGTTTCGCTTTGTACTACACAAAGGCAAATCTCCCAAATCAGTACCGATCTAATATTTACAACGCAAAATAATTTAATGAGCTCTAATATTAATAATTTCGAAAATTATGATCACATATTTCTGATTTGCTGCATGCGGCTCTTATACTAATAAATTTTGCTCACTCCTGGTATAGTGTATGAAAAATTCTATCAAAATAGATTTAACTTCTATTCCACTGATGTCATCTAACGCGGAAATATATGCTATTGGATGGAATCTAGGGTCCCTTTCAAAATAAAACTTTTTTGCACTGCATGTGGCATCTCATTTAAAATTAACAAGGTCTAAAAGTTGTTCTATTTTTATCAGTGAACCATATCGACTTTTCAGAGTTGTCAATGCCATACCACATACCCGATAACAAACTTGATTACTTACTACAATGACTAATTCAGATCCTAATTATTTGTAACAAATATAACATACTTTTGAATCTTTTGATGAATAACGCCTCCAATCCTTGTTTGAGTGTGCTTTCAATTACTTCTGTTGCTTTAAAAATATCACGCTTTGACACAACTAATATGCTACCTCCGGTACTTTTAGCAATATGTTCGTACAAATCATATCCCAGCTTTAGAGCAGGATTATCGCAACGTCTTGATTCTTTTCTTGAATGAAATATTATATTACGAGTGAATTTCACGAATAAATGAAAATATTAGAATTACTCATTTTCAATTTGAAAACAACGCAATATCCTTAAATAAATTTGACGTTTATTATGAGTAAATTGTATGCCAGTCGCATAAAATCACCAACACATAAAACATGGCGCTAAACAGTATAACAGTATTACAATTGTATATTTATATCATTTTATTTTCACTTTATGATAATGTTCTGTTCAGTGTGAGTATTGCTATTTGAGACTCGTTGTTGATTGACTCATATGTAATTCTAAATACTAAAATATTATTTATATATGTATATTTACCTCCATCCATTACACACTGTTGTTTGCACCTGATTTGTTAAAAGAAAAGTTACTTTGATATTTTTCTGTTTAGCTTGAGCAACCACGTTATCCTGAAATTAAAATTGGTATATAAAAATGAGGTTAAAATTGAAAGTCTGAAGGAAGAGAAAAAAATAAAAGAGTTTAGAGTTCTCTAACCTGCAATTCCACGTCTTTTGCATCGATATCCGTGATAACAAAAATAGTTGAACCTGCATTACTATTCTCAACAGCTAATTGAATTCCTCTCATACTTAGTTCAGGTGCATCTCCACCTCCGTGTGCATATAATCTGGAAAATTTGAAATATCTTTTATATCTACAAACACAACTTTTTGCAGTTGATATTAAATACAATTGTTTTTTCAGTATCATTGGGATAAATTTCCGTGTATCTAAAATTTGAGGATGAAATGTACCATGTCAATTATTCAAAATACAAAGAATCAAGTGAAAAATGCCCATCCAAAATATTACTTGTTGATAGCTTTTTTAAATGCATCAGGGTCATGTGTGACAGTCAGAGGTCCAACAGTAGGATCGTTGAAAGGAACAAGAACAAAATTTTGTGGCTGATCGAGAGATCCTTGACGCTGATTGATAATATTCTGAAAACGGTTAAATATAATGATGAGATATGAGCACTCAACAAAATTATATCACTTAATTAGAAATCATAACGAAAGCTTCGACAGGATTTAAGCTATATTTTATTACTTGTATCATATGGGACGTTATCACAAAGAAAATATAATGATGATGAAAAATTCGCAAATGGTTTCGAACAATAAATACACACTAGCAAGATATGCAATATTTGGAGCACAAAAAAAGTTTCAAATAAGTTTGGAAAATGGAATCTTACAATGGCTCGTTGCTTTGCGGCTTGAATTTCACCACTCATACTTCCAGTATCATCAATAGCAAACGCGAGAGTTGTTCCAGAACCAAGACCAAGAAATTGGCCAAATTGAAATTCGCCGATTTCGTTTCTGATTCTACAAAAAAGAAACTTAGAGTGATGAACAAAGTATTGGTGATATCAAGATCCTCCTTGACACTTGTTGCTATGATGTACTGCTGTACTATGAACACGTAATTTTGGGCCCTAGACCAAAACTAACCAACAAGAATAATAGCAAAATTTAGCCAATCAATTCTTATATTACGTTATTAGCGGTATAATAGAACCATCCTACACTTTTTTCAGATTTCAGGTACATGAATTGCAACTTGTTAAAAACTGAAGAAGTATGCAATTTTTCGACAACGGATTTGAGATATAAATTCTTGGGTTATAATAATATGTGTATATTAAATTAATACGTTTGGAAATTTTCAAGGCCTTTTAGAACACTCTGCAAAAATATAAACATCTTTTAAGCGGTCTCATTATTTGTTTTTATTAAACTTTGGATTGAAAACACCCAAATAGCGTCGATTTTAATTGATGAAAATACTGTAATAAGACTGAAATTTGAAGTATATACATATGAAATGCATTTCTACCCTATTTGCTATGAATATATGTTATTACATAGAACGCTTGAATTATAGCAAGAATAATCAAACTCACTTTGCAAGTTCATTGTAAATAACTGATTCCAACTGACTCATATTATCATCTTCAATGCATCCGTATTTCTTCATTGTCTCCCCTGCAATCTCATATGCGGCTTTATATAGAAGGACACCAAATTTTTCTCGAGCAATATTATAACTTCCTGCTTTTGCATATGTGTAGATGTTGTCTCGTAGAACGACTCGGTCAGCTTCAATAACAGCATCATCATCTTTTGGTTTCTCATGTCCAGGATCAGAATAAAGAATTCTTGTCAAAGCATCTTTGAATCCTGAAGATGAGGCGTCTTCTCCGTAATAAGTGATAAACAAATTTTGCGCTGTAGGTGGATCTAGAGCTTCCGGCACAATGGGTTCTTCAGTACCACGAGGGTTATCGGCAAAATACATCGTTGCAAAGTCGATAAACATGCGCTCCAAAACCTCACGAAATGGAGTACAATCGGCCGAATCAGGCATGTTGTTAACGAGGATGCCCGCGTTCGCCTTCTGAAGAAAGCCGATGACAAAGGAAAAACAAATCACCCGAAGCATAGTGATATTTACCACTATATGGTATGTTAAAATGCAAGAGTTATTCTTAATGAACAAATGTATAAACGATCTGAAAATATTTAAAAATATATAGATTAGGTAATGATAGTATCTACCCATCAATCTGCAACTTCATCAGGTACGTCATCGGTTCTTTGCAAACTTTAAATTTCCATTCTTCAGCCTAACGGACACGTGCATTTATCATAATTTTCTATCATTCATCAATCCTACAAGAAAATGTTATTCCTTTCATATCCACGTCAAAGGGGTACATTTGAAAGCATAAAAAGAACTTGACGTACATATATATGTTTCACTTTGGCTAAATTAAAATATAAGACGGTGATAAATTAAGCTAATTTAAGTTAGTCAATTAAAGAAACAACAACGCTCGAAAAATTAACTCATTATTCTGCATCAGTAAGTGTAGATTTTCTTCTACAACTTTTACAATAATCAGTTTTGATTCGATCAAGAAAAAATATCCCACTATCTCAATATTGGCCAAATCAATCTCAGATCTGTTTTGTTCTGCTGATTCAGTCATTGATTTTTTTAGTTTTCGGTCTCTCGTCTAATAATAGTTTTGTAATAGCGTCTGTTATTGACTGAATACGGCAAAACATAATTAAACATTAACAAATCCCTGCGGCATTGCTTCTGAAACGACCAGAGCAAAAGTGTCCAAATATAGTAACACTTGAAATTAATTTAAGAAAAACTAAATTGCGGGATTAGTTATAACGAGATTCAATGACATGGACAAAAGAGGAATAGAAAGTTTTTTAGTATAAATCCTATGTTTACACATACACAAAAACTGCAAAACAAATTATTATTCCATGACAAAACAATTTCGTGTACAAATTGCATTTGCTAATTTTGCTTCATTCAACTACGTATAGTAAGGCCTTTCCGAAGCACAAGGCTCAGCATTAAGGTAAGTTACAGCATACAAAACTTGGAGGAGTATTCATTTAAGAAACTACAATGAAGATGCAGAATACTATCTACACACAAACACATACGCAAAAAACTTGCTTTTTTCAGCATAAGAACAAATGCCGATATTACTTTGGTTTGTAATCAATTGTAGCGTCTGCTCATATTCAGATAATTCAGAAATTAGAATTACGTTTAGCCTGATATGAGAACAGACAATCACTTCACCATATAGCTTGCACCTTTATATCATTTCGAATGCAAAACATGATAGAATATATTGCCTCAGGACACCGGAAAAATATTAACAATACCTGACATCACATTTAAAAAAGAAAACGTTCGATGATTATCACGAACTGGGAAATCAACGGTAAATATTATCAACACGAGATCGAAATTATAGCTCTATATCAGTCACGTCTCTTTACCAATATTTCCTATTTGAGAACGTTTCAGTACTTTCCCAAGTTTGTTAAATTAAAATAAAATGAAAATTCCGTTGAAAATCCGCATGAAAGGCATTTTAATTTTGCAGTATCTGGATAAAAAGGCTGCTGTATTTTTGCCATGGTTGACAAAGGCGATTTTGATATCTATATATACCCAAATAATATTGACTAGGATAACGAATTAGGTTGGGAACAATGGGAGAGTACCATTACAACCAAATTGAACAACACAAAATTGAACCTAGCAATGTCTCAATTTAGTTATTTATTATTTTTATTGGCATTCATCCTGAAGCCAAACTGATTGGAATGTAACAGCAGCAAATTGATTTTAATAGTGTTTCCAAAAATTGCCGTAAAATATAACAATACGATTCAATTCTAAAAAGTGAATATATCGCTAAAAATGTATTTACCGCATACCACAAAGAAAGTAGAAGTTGTGGATATCTTATACAATCACTATTTTTCACTTTTAATCTGATAAAGTCATTTTGTTAATTCACGATGAATTCAACCACTCACACATTTTATGACTAACCCACACATTTTATGAAGAATTATGAAAACTCAACTATCACGACAAAAACGTGATATCTCTACTTGAATCATTACTTTTTGCACGATTTTATTACAAAATCCAGTAAATAATAAGTCTTTTATGCAGTTTTTTAAGGCACGCTTCTAATTCCATGAAAAGTAAACTTCGCGTGATTCATTTTGTTAGTAAAGTCTGATTCATTTTCACTTTATAATTTTGTCAACAATATAATTAAGACTTATTTATAAAATCGATCTTAATTTGATTACGCTTACTTCGACTTATCGGATTCGACAAAACAATATTTTGAGTGTTATTTTTTTATTTTCATGACAATATTCATGTAACATACATACATACAATATTATTTTAATGTATTTGTGTCTTCCAACAAAGGGAATCAGCCAATAGGGTAATTCAAATTTCACCAATGTGAAACATTTGCAAGTCACAAAACATATTATTACTGTTTTTGAGTTGACTAAGAAAGTATAGCAAATGGGTGTTTTCATGATAGCTTTACATTGAACACGCATTGTTAGGTAGTGGGAGTAAATTTTACAAATTTGTAAATACATTATTAGGATTTATTTTTAGTTGTTTTGACAATTTTTTTTAAATTAATGTAGTGATTAACATAAATAAACTTGCCCCTGTGTTGTTCCCGTCCTATGGTGAATGTAGGAGTAGTATTATTCATTCGCTGGAAACTTATCGGTAATTTACAGAATGTTTTGCACTTTGGGCGGTCGGGAAATGAAATTAATTTAAATCGTAAGTTTACATTTGAGAAAATAATAATCCGGTAATATACGAACGTAGCTAGGGCTCTAAATTTCAATCATTTGCGAACCAAGTAGTTTAGTTTTAGCGACCGCACTTACGGCTTTAATGATCCTCCCACAAGTGTAAATCCAATTGTACTTCGGTGGTGTCACAACTTAAGAATTTTATGATTTCATGGCCTGTTAAAGATTTGAACATAACGAGTGATACTGCGAACATGACGACCTAATTTTATCACAGCTATAGCTGAGAGCGGTAAAAACACTATTGCGTATATATTAAATCCTCTTCAAGAGGTATACGCAGTGACGTCAAATTCATAAAAAATCTATATTTAAGTTTATTTTGGTTTCCCCACAAAACAACAAAACGAGACAATAAAAAACTCAAACACAGATAAGTTCGAAAATATCTTTAAATTGGACAATTCTTGAAGGGTTCACTAAATTCATTATGCCTGAAAAGTTAAATTTTATTCTGGTCGTCTGAGAAACCCATTCGAAAGATGCGCAAGTATGAAATAAAACTTATGTTTAAAAAAGAAAAATAGTAATAAAACATATTTTACCAAAACCAACAGCTTTCTTTACACAAAAACTTGAATGTTTCACGGCACACATGCAGTTTTGGGGGGCTGACTAACAACTGGAGTTTATGGCAACACAGGGCACTGTTCACATCGCATGAACATCTCCACATCACTCAGCATCCCTGTTCCAACAAAGGCATATAGCAGAAATAGGGAAATAAAGTAACAAATACGTTTTGTACATTAAGCACTGAAGGAAAAGCTTGCAGAAACCGTTCGATTTAATGTAAATAAATCTTCGGTTCAAAGGTTCCAAATTGTTATCCTAAAATACCACCACTGGCACTTTGTTTCGCTCTGGACCTTATACGCGCATCACCATCATATGCTATCCATTCCAGGACTAGTTGCGCATCAGAAACCAGGATTTATCAAGTTTTTTATGCGGCTATCGAAGATTGTCATCGCATTATATAATGTAAACGCAACTTATATCTGTGAAAGTTTATAAGAGAACATTCGAAAACTGCGGTAAAATTCGAACATTCATTTGAGTTCTTTGTTTTTATTTACTTTGTACACACCATTAATTAACAGGTAGCCTAATTTTCTCCAGAAATATAACGAGAA